GCGATAAATCGCCCACAGTTGTTGCATTTGTCGATAGCTACAAACCAGCCACATTATTTGAATTTGAACATCGGTCACATTCATTGAAATTGCAGATCGCAACCGATTGAATGTTTATAATTTGTAGATCGCATCAATTCAGCCAATTCTTAAAAAATGTATTTCGCAACCAATTGGCCACGTTCATTAGATTGCAGATTGTAATAAATTGGCCAAATTGATTAACATTTAAGATCGCAACAAATAAGTCACATTGAAATGTTGTAGATAGCAGCAAACAAGAGATTTCACCGCACCAAATGCGCCACATTATCTAAAATTGTACATCGATACAAATCGACCACAATCATTGAAATTGTAGATTCCAAAAGATGGGCCTAATTATATTGAAACGGTAGATCTCACAAAATTGGCCACATTAGTTTTAATAGTAGATCGTTGCATACAGACTTCTTAAATGGTAACATCCAAATTATGAGATACATGTTATTCTAATGGTTAAGGTTGTGGACTTCAAACCACTCGCCCTCACCGTTGTAGGTTAGAATCCCGACAGAGACTTTGGAATCTTTCATGTGAGGAAGATATCTTGCTAGCTTACGGAACTTCTATGGTTCTATTCAGGTGCCCGTTCGTGCATGAAATAATGCACGGAAGGGCACCTGAGGTCTTCCTCCACCAGTAATGCTGAAAAGTCACCATATGACCTATACTCTGTCTGCGTGGCGTAAAATCCAATCAAACAAACAAAGTAACCAGAATTCAATCGTTTAATTCTGATGTTATGTGTTATGTGATCTGATTTGATGTTATGTGTTATGTGATTGTTATGTGATCTGATGTTATGTGTTATGTGATCTAATGTTATGTGTTATGTAATCTTATGTTATGTGTTATGTGATCTGATGTTATTGATGTTATGTGTTATGTGATCTGATGTTATGTGTTATGTGATCTGATGTTATGTGTTATATAAAATGGTTATATTAAATAGATAATAGGAACAGTTATATTGTACTTATTTTATAACTAATGGTCTTAATAATTAAATGGGTTTTATATCCAGGAATTTGACTTGTGCCCAGTTGATTATCCGATTACGTGAGTGCCTATAGCAATAACTTCTGCCAAACAACCGGGCATAAGCGGAATGTGTGCCAATCAAATATTAAAAATTTAAAATTGATTTTGTCAATAACAATTTGGACAGGTCAATAAATAAACAGAATAGCCCTTTATATCAAATAATTGAAATCAAACTTTTATTTATTGGAGAATTAATTTTTCAACATAGGATACATGAACCACGCGGACGTTTAAATTTATTAAGAAATAAACGTACATATATAACAAATAGAAAATTCGATTCACTGGTATTTCTTCTCAATACTTTTTAACATTACTAGTTTAATGAAATGTATGTTTTTGTTGACCATATTCATGCATTATTTTCAGGATCTAGTTTCGTGGTAGGAATGTGTCACGGTTTAAAAGCTAGAGTTCGAAACCAAACCAAACCAAACCATTCGCACCTACGTTTTAATCTATCTAAAATTTCATCACAAGTTTTCGAAGATAAACTATTATATAGGGTACATAGCTATAAAGAATATATTTTTATTTCAACACGCGAAAACTGTGCGTAAATAGAATATAATGGTCAAGACAAAATATTAAGCTGCTTTTTTAAGTAGGTATCTTTAACCATTTAACAATGAGTTCATGTAAAATGAATCGCTCAAAAGGAGATAAACCAATATATTTTTTTCAAACGGGCATTTGAGGTTTTTTTTTGTTTTTTTTTCAAAATTCAAACGAAAATTTAACTACATGCAGAAGAGATACATGTATAGCTTTATACTCTTTAATCAAGGAAATGTGTCTGGCATTCCGTTGCTGACAAAGTCGGAAAATTAATAATGAAATTTTGTTTTTTGTGTTGTTGCTGTTTGTTTTTTATTTTATTTTTATAAGTCACGATTTCCCTCAAATTTTATCGATTCAAATTAATTTTCAATATTTTCAATTTTTACTGCATCATTAGACGTTTTATACTTTAGCCAATAGTTAACCCCAAACTGTAATATTTTAACAATAGACTGCCCGTTTGTGACAAAAATAATCGAATTTGTTTAAGTTAATTGAAACGTGAGATTTGCTACAAATAAAAAGTGCGTTGTTTAATTTGATGTAAAACCCTCTATTGGTTACAGTACAATATCGATTGCGTTTCATTTTTCATTTTGTTATGTGCAATTGTTCATTTTTCTATCGGAAGTAGTTAAAGTTAAATGGTAGATTTGAAATAATATATTGTGCTTTGTAAATAATTATTGTTTCTGAATGCAACCTTTTATTCGGAAAATTGACGCTGTAATTCATCCGGATTATCATATCTGCATGGACGTCACGTGTACAATGTATTTAAATATGTCGGGATAGAGAATTTACTTACGCTGATGTTTTTATTTGACTAAATGTAAATTTGTTTTAAAAGTTAATGTTTGTTTAATATATGGATGTAGAGTGTACGTAAATTTATAAGGGTTTTAGCATATTGGAATAGAAGACCTGTATTAAAGGTATGGAAGGCTATAGTTGTCGTTATTAAACATATATATGCGCAAACAAACATAAGATTATAAGAACAGCTTGACCCTTTCTTACATTGCTGAAGTTGCAGTATGGATCACAGTAAAGTTTGCGGGACTTCACTATCAAAGTACTACAATTAAGCGGCTCACTACGAAAGACCGGAAGGGACATTTCAACTTCATTAATTCCCGATTTCGTTTTCATGAAATCACGATTTCGAATTAAAGAAGAGAAGTTGAAATCGAGAACTCGTGAAATTGAATTCGTGAAGTTGAAATTATGAATCCATGCTGTAAAAATCGTGAATTCGTGCTGTTAAAATCGTGAATTCGTGGAGCTGAAATCGTGAATTAATAAACTATAAATCTTGAATTCGTGAAATTGACATCGTTAATTCATGAAAATGAAATCGTAAATTTCGTATGTTGATAAAACGTTAATTCACGAAGATAAAATTGCGAATTCAAGAAGATAAATTCGGTAATCCTTGAAGTTGAAATGTCCTTACAGGTTATTATACTAGCCTGAGCGTATGCTGGTGACATATGACTGTTATTATCCTAGCCTGAATGTAAACTGGTGACATAGGACTGTTATTATCCTAGCCTGACTATACTAATGACATATGACTGTTATTATCCTAACCTGAATGTAAACTTGTGACATATGACTGTTATTATCCTAACCTGAATGTAAACTTGTGACATGGGACTGTTATTATCCTAGCCTGAGTGTAAACTGGTGACATGGGACTGTTATTATCCTAGCCTGGCTGTAAACTTGTGACATGGGACTGTTATTATCCTAACCTGAGTGTAAACTGGTGACATGGGACTGTTATTATCCTAGCCTGGCTGTAAACTGGTGACATGGGACTGTTATTATCCTAACCTGAATGTAAACTGGTGACATGGGACTGTTATTATCCTAACCTGAGTGTAAACTGGTGACATAGGACTGTTATTATCCTAGCCTGGCTGTAAACTGGTGACATGGGACTGTTATTATCCTAACCTGAATGTAAACTGGTGACATGGGACTGTTATTATCCTAACCTGAGTGTAAACTGGTGACATAGGACTGTTATTATCCTAGCCTGAGTGTATACTGGTGACAAAGGACTGTTATTATCCTAGCCTGAGTGTATACTGGTGACAAAGGACTGTTATTATCCTAGCCTGAGTGTATACTGGTGACATAGGACTGTTATTATCCTAGCCTGACTGTATACTGGTGACATGGGACTGTTATTATCCTAGCCTGAGTGTATACTGGTGACATAGGACTGTTATTATCCTAGCCTGAGTGTAAACTGGTGACATAGGACTGTTATTATCCTAGCCTGAGTGTATACTGGTGACATAGGACTGTTATTATCCTAGCCTGAGTGTATACTGGTGACAAAGGACTGTTATTATCCTAGCCTGAGTGTATACTGGTGACATAGGACTGTTATTATCCTAGCCTGAGTGTATACTGGTGACATGGGACTGTTATTATCCTAGCCTGACTGTATACTGGTGACATGGGACTGTTATTATCCTAGCCTGAGTGTATACTGGTGACATAGGACTGTTATTATCCTAGCCTGAGTGTAAACTGGTGACATAGGACTGTTATTATCCTAGCCTGAGTGTATACTGGTGACATAGGACTGTTATTATCCTAGCCTGAGTGTATACTGGTGACATAGGACTGTTATTATCCTAGCCTTATTGTATGCCGGTATAGGACTGCAATTATCAACATGGTTATAAACATATCTATGCATATAGACAGGCGATTCATTTAAGTTTCTATAATAAAAGATAACAGAAATTTAAGGGATCAAAAGTTAAATCCCTATCTGTTTGATCATTTTGACTTTAACAGCAGCAAACATCTTCCTTAGTTGTTTATGTTTATTTAACATTATCAGAAATGGTGAAAAAAAAACAACAACAAGAAAACATCTGTTACCGCAACTTTCTCATAATGTTTAAAATATTGGGGATTTTACGGAACAATAACTGTATTTGGTGGAAGTGACTTTCTAAGTGTTTTTTTTTCTTTTTTGTTTCTTTTTAATATTTCTTACAAAGGATTTTGATAAGGTTTCAACCAATTAGGAATCAGTTTACCAAGCATTAAACGAAATCTACATAAAAATGTACTGCACTTTTAACCGAAACGCTTTTACTGATAATTATCGACAATTGGATTCATCTGTTAATGCAAGTGTTTTACTACGTCAATGCACACTCAATTAAAAAAGAATTAAAAAAGCATAATATGGAAAGTATGGGTGTCAATACCTTATATTGTGATATAACTTTTACAATAGAAAATCGAAATATACCCACGCATACGTCAGCGTTTATTTTATATCATCCCAAATTTTTATCAAGTACTTGTTAAACATAAAAACTTGTACAGCTTTTCGAGATGTTATGCAAACACACGGCATGGCGACGTTTAGTGTATAATTTTATTTACATCTCGCGTTACTCAAGAGTGCTTTTACACTTTTAAATACAAGCTATAAATTTTGGGATTTAATTTTGTTTTTCTTTACTTCTTTTTTTGTATAACTTAAATGTTATCTTGTTGTTAATAGTATGTGATGACTTTATTTCGAACCATCAATCTTATGGAATATAATACATAAGGACTATATTACTTAGTGTATTTTAAATGTAAATATTAGTTTTTTTTATAATGTACTTATTTATTAATTCAATAATGTATGCTTGTCTAGAGGGTGTGTACCACCGCCCACTTTAAGTGCTGCTGTCTCGGACCCTGTGAAGCTCGTGTTAATTTATTCAAATACAAGCAAAATACAATGCATTCTTTATATCGGTACTAATTACCTTTTTTTAGGAAAAAGGTGTAACTTTCATTTACATTCATTAACATCCATTTCGTGTGTTTGCATTTGAATCAAGAGATTTAATCAAATGCCTTTACGTTATTTAATTATAGGAATACAGTGTATTAAATAGATCGAATTCTAAATTTGGATATCTTTTCAGATGGAAGGGAAAATCGAAATTGAGATCCGCATGTGCACTCAAAAAAAGCTTTTATGAAACACGACGTATCAATGATATAAACAGATCGGGAGATTATCAATAGATTGAGAAGTATCTTTAAAAACTCAATTGCAATCAAATTGATATGGATTAACGTAACATTCAGTTATGTATTTATAAATAAAAACCACATTTCCTCCATTCGAAAGCATATCCGTGAAGGAAATAACATTTACCAGCAGTCTACATTGAACTATTGATAAATATTGATTAAATTAAATGAAGATTAATTGATGACATGTTTTATATATTATAACTTCTTTTCACGTGTTATATGAACTAAGCCGACTTTTATTTATAATAACCTAGGTAGGTGTAACATACATGACTGTATACTGTGTGGCTTCCAGTGATTTTCTGTGAAAGTTTTCGTTTCGGATTTTTTTTTAAATAGTCATCATTCTCTAAAAATAAAGGACAACTTATTGTATAGATTTAAAATGCCGACAATAGAGAGCGATTTAAAAACAAAAAACACATTACCGGACATATTCCGTACTATAAATGGAATAAATTTGGATATAGGACCTCTTGACCGACTCCGTGACCAAGAAGCATCTGTCGACGCTTTATCACTTGGCAAAGGCGACCATGGAAGAAAAGGACGCAGTAATTTCCCCCGTATTATTCTCCGTGATGTCCTTGGACACGAGTTAGACACCTTCACGACGTTACAAGAGGCTATATACCGTGCTAAATGGAACGTTAAACAAACAGGTCAAGCTAAGGAACCGATAGAATGGAGGTTACCGAAGGCGCCGCCGCCGGCACGACCAGATCTTACCAGAACGTTTCCTCCGTTAAAGCACCCGCCGGCACATCCTCCGGACAATAAACTGAAAGGAAGATTCGATAGTGCGAGAGTGCTGGTGAGTATAGTTTTAAATAAAATCTGTCAGAGATTTGATTTATTTATGTATATATGTTATATTGTATTGATATACATGTATATGTGTGTTCCAAAGCTCACCTTCGTTTCCTATTTAAATTATATGACAACATTTATAATGACGATGTCAAATTTGAACAAACCCATCCATTTAAGTATCATATAATACCAATTCAGATTCGTAAAATGTGCCTAAACTAGAATATAAAGTATTTAAGTTTTTTTTTTTACTGCTGTTGCTGCTGTTGTTTTGTTGTTGTTTTATTTACAAATCTTTTGAGTTTTAAGTTCCCTTATTTGGTAAAACAAATTTAAAGAGACATTATATATATAATATATATATATACCTTTCCAATATTTGACCAAATGTGCGTCAATTGTAAGTTTTTATGACAAAAGTCATGTAGAAGTTAACATACTGGTACAGGGAATAAGTTTTCCCAACATATGTATTTGACTGAATTGATTTGAAAAATGAGTTCCCATATTTGACTAAACATGAGGGAATACAAGTTCCTATACATGTATTTGACGAAATTTGAGGGCACTCTGGAGAAGTATACGTATACATGTTTGTAAATTAGTTAATGTAGTTAAACTACACGAACTTATATCACCTTTCAACCAGCAATTTTAACCACATATTTATCCAGGTATCCATAGATCAAAACAACGAAAAACATATTTATTGATTAACTCTTAAGTTTCATAACATTTAAAATCAAAGGACAACATGTTTAATAAAGCAGTATACGTATTGTAATATAAACATGAATCTTTAATCAACATGAGAAATGAATTAAGATTCACGCTGACTTCCATTAGGTCTGTTATTACTACATAATACAGAGAATGTCTGGCACATTGTGACTACCAGCTTGCCGTAAATTAATCATTGATTTTATAATTTCTGATTTAACGACGTGAAAAGTACACATATAATTAACACATCTAGGGTCTGTGAATACCCGATAATATTCACATGAGCTCCAATAGTAACCTTATTTAATATACACTGATATATTATTTATGCCCTTCGCCCGCCCGTCCGTCGTCCCCTACCCCCCCCCCTGCCACACACACACACACACTTGCGTTTGAAATTACTTTTTTTTTTTCAAGCTAACCATCTTAGTTGCAGTAATAATATTCATACTCTAAATTACCAACGGCTATTTCGTTGAAATAATATAGTGGATGGTTCGCTATTTTATAATTTATTTTGTAATTTAATAAAATTCGCACCGATAAGTAATCAAAACTTGCATTTTAAAATCATTTCTGAAAGTTGATGAATAAAACCGAAAAGGAGACACAAAACGTTTAGCTGCAGCAATGCAAAGGTCTTAACATAAAACGATTTAAATTAATTCGATTTAATTTCCCGCTTAATTAAGCGTTTTTAATGTAACCTGTCTATGAATATTTTCAATTTGTTCATCTTTTACAAACTGTTTTAGGTGTTGTTGTTTTTATTTTAAGATTTTTTTTATCAAAACCTTAAGGACATGATGTATAGATTTTCATTAAGCAACTGTGCACTGAAAGATAGATACTTTGTTGCCAGGAGTTGCATGCGATTTCATCCAGTGTTCAATAAATTTGTAAAGAAAGTCTTAGCTCTTTTCGCTAAACATGGGAAAACTTTCTCTATGTTGACAGCTTAATGGGTACTTCACAATTTGCTTTAAACATTTTATATGAAAGTCATTTTGTTTGATGAATGCTCATCCCCTGGTTTGATTGAATAAATATTATCATTTGTATGTATACAACCACGTGTCGTGATAAGATAGTTAATTTATATGCAATTTTAAAACGCACCGTGATTACTTAAGTTATAAGTGGACTGAAAACCATCATTAAATTTTCTTTATTTGTCTGCTTTTATTCAGATAAAATGCACGTCAAATTAGCAAAAAAAAGTAAATGTTAACTTTTAATCATAATGATGATTCAAAATATTCAATGTTAAATAGAAATGAAAATGTTTTATGAATTTAATTGAAAATGTTATTACCAAAATATAAAATAACTCTAAATTGAATATTAATATTTTCTTTACATCTAAAATCACAGTTATTGTACATAAAATATTTTCACTTATAAAAATGGGTGTGTGCATTTAGAAATGTGAAGAAGAAAGTTTATTTACAATTTGCACACACATATGTAAATATTACAACACCCTGTATGTGGTATAGGCTTATAAGTCATTTACCTGACATAAAATAATGTATATAATAATACAATAACATAATTACTGGAAATAATCTATAAAAAGTGTTTAAATCATTGCAAAATGTTTTATTCATTGCGTATTTGAATGAAATGGTCTTATTCTATCATACCATAACAATCTGTTTTACATATATTCAAAGCATTGTTTAATACACAATATATCATGATTTTGAAGACGATTTTCATTCAATAAAAGCAGTGACCATATACTTTATTGAGTTGAAATAAAAATATCTTCCAGTCTGTTCTAAATAGTGTGATCTTTTTATTGTATCAAATAATAAATAAATAAAGGAATGAATGAATGAATGAACGAACGAACGAACGAACGAACGAACGGACGGACGGACGGACGAGCGAACGAACGAACGAACGAACGAACGAACGAAAGAATGAATAATTAATTAAATTCATAACATGCATAAAAATAAATAAAATGAAATAATACAACTAAGTCTTACATAATTCTTAAACATAATATTGCCTGCCAAAAAAAACTAGATGAGCATTTCTTTGTAAATTAAATATTCTATGTTCTACAAATCCTTTATAGAAAGTAAAATCTATATCTTTTTAGTCTATGTACTCTAGTAAACTATGAACTGTCTAAGAAGTTATATAAATGATATGTTTCCAAAGCCAAAGTTCGGTAAAAATTGAATCAATCATTCTTTTTTTTTTATATGATTAACAGTTTGACTTCGTGCATTCTATTTACAAAGACAAGAGCTACGAACTAAAGTTTACAAACAGAGATAATTTTCTTTCCTTTATCTTCACTATTTTCAGTAGTGAAAGTCAAATATATATGTACGCATTTTATCTAAAGGCCCGAGAGTCTCATCAAAATGCTATTATTTTTTATTTCTATATGTTATAGTTTTCGAAAGCGTCTTATTGTTTTGTTGTTGTTGTTGTTTTTTGTTGTTGTTGTTGTTTTTTTTTGGGGGGGGGGAGGGTGTTGACGTACAGTAATAAATTGCCGTTGGGGTACAGCGGGTTAAAATAAAGCAGCCAGGTTGAACTACGGTTTTCATTTTGGAAAATGTTTGAAAAAGAAGACTTTATGCACCAGAAGATAACAGACACCTTGGATTTTCCAAGGTTTCGCAGTGGTGCCCTGTTACCGTTTCATAAAAAAGAAAAAAATATCATTTGCCACATAGATGAACTATCCTTTGCTTTCGTTGATATGTTGGCAATTGGTATAATTATAGCGAACTAATATTTTGTATGGAAGTCGAAATTCTCTTTTGTTTACATTTTGCTACCTTTATATCACATCATTTCACGTTCAGCATGACTTTCTGTAGTTGTAACACATCTTACATGCTCTAAATTCATTACTTACACATTATTAAACAAATGTTTGACATTTCTAAAACAATTTTTAAAAAAATAGTGATTTCTGAGGCATTAAGTACCTTTAATGAAAATTTTCTGTATGAAATGAATAACGTGTAAAGTATTGATCATTGTTAAATTGCATTACCCTTAAGTGAATCTTTAATTTTTGTTCTTCCTGTCGACAGAAAGAGGAAATAATTCATTTACAGCATAAACAATTGCATACCAAACTGTCACTAGAATAAGCTGATTCAATGTGGATATTTATTTTATAAAAAAGTTTCCGTAATGTTTAAGATAACTTTAGAACAATCTCGTTTCTATCTAAAATCAAACACTTGACAGTATCATGTCCACATTGAGGACCGATATATGGACGGTAAGTGTTTGATTTGAACGGGTTTTAAATAACTTGGAGGGTTTTATATCTTATTTAAGTAACTCTTAAGAAATCTGATACAGATTTGAAGCCTGTTTTCGCTTGAATTACACAAATCCTAACATTAACGAAACCACTTAGATAAAGAAACACGTGTACAAACTAACCTTTGCATGCATTTAATGTATATTTTTAAACAGCTCGATCACGGAATATTTGCACGGGGTTTTGACACTACTTGTCAATCATAAATTACCTATTACGTTCCCATTAAGATAATAATTTTGCTGTCAAAATGGAGAAAGTAATGCACTATCTAGAAAGTACTGAATGGTCGTGTTATGAACAAACTCATTTAGATCTACTTCACTACGAGACTTAAAATGACATTTTAAGTCTAAGCTTTACTTCTGAAAAAGTCATGTCTTAGGCCTATGATGAAACTTATTAAAAGTACATTTAAAGGCATATTTGATAAAACATTTAAGGGTGAAGTCCCATAAAATTTACTTACTTATCGAAACAAATTTGTTAAAATACACCATACATGTTCGCTTCACATACATGTCGTGCAATGCTCCCTACCTCAGTTCAGGAATCATAAACTTTGGAGGTAACTCTAATTAAACTCTAAAATGATAGACCGATCATTTATGTTGGAATATTTATAAATCTATTTTGTTATTTATACATGCCTGCGTTTCCAATCTATTAAATATACTATAAGCAATTAAACAAGATTGCCTCCCTTTGTTTGGCTTTACGCCATTTGTACGCCATTTGCAGTTCAGTCGCAGACACTTCAATAGTTCATTTTATTTGCGGTAACTGGGTTAGCCCTATGAGTATTTAAGTTGAAATTATCAGAATAAAATTTATTTGTTCTTTATTAGATGTATATAGAGACTAGTTTTTGATTATTGCATTTTTTTCTCTCTTTTTTTTAATAGACAGAACATATCACGTGCCGTGGAAGGATCAGAAACTTAAAATTTTGTAATAGATGATAGATCTATAGATATGTCCGTGGAAAGAATAGGCACGTTAAAGCAAGGATGCAAAAGTTTGAAGCTTTAGCTGTTTCATATTGAAATAAAGGATACCAGCTTCCGTAATCATTTCTGTTTTGTATGAAAATTGAAACGTTCAAAAGTATTAGGCACACCAAGACTTTAATATAATAAACGTTATGTGCAGCATTTTTTATTTGCCTTACAAATGGGCATATACAGTATTTGTTTTAGATGGTCTGGTTAACATTAATGAATGCTTTTTGTATAGTTGAAAAATGAAATAAATATACATTAAGATACTGCTGTCATTGACTATTGCACTTTTTATATATCATCGATATTCAACAATGGATATACAATATTGATTCACAATTTGAAATATCAATACAATTTAAAACCCATTGCTTGAAAAATATCTTTCTATTTTGTGTAAAAGGGAAAAAGACACTTTCCTAGTTTGATCCTCAGATGTCTGTAAGGTAAATAAAAACCAAGAAAATATACTTTCTTTTGGTATACTGTGTTTGTAAGTATAAAACATGATTGCATATGAAACACAAAGATGACAGTTTATGTAACACTATTCAAATAGTTTCCACTGTACAGGCTATTTAATTAAACATATTGATATAATTCATTGATATTTGGCTTTTAATATATCAATACAAATATTAACATCAATGACAGCCCTAGAGAATGGTGAACCTTTAATAATTAAACTGCACATGTCTAAAGGTATATTGATATCTATATGTATTATATACATACATTGTACATGGGAAGATTTTTTGTCGTTGCTTTTTTGTGGCTTTTTTAATCCATCTTTTACTTACAGTCGTGGTGGATACATATTTGAGTCCCAGTACGGGGACATCTTAAACTTATAGGCCACACACAGAAAACATTTAATATATTTTATCAAAGTGAATAGAAAGTTTAGAAGATCTATTACTAAACCTACAAGGAAATAAAAAAATAAAGAATTTTCTTCTGAAATATGATATTATATAGATAAATCTAGAGATTTGCTTTGATGTTTTTTTATCAAAATAAATTTTAGTTGAATCAGGCTGTAAACAAACAAAGGGAATATTTCACAAAGTCTAGAAACTTCAAACAGATTTAAGTTTTAAAAAGAAAAAAAGAATAACCTATTAATGGGAGTAATTAATTTTTTTATGTTCCTTCTGATAAATAAATTTTAATGTCACTTTAAATAACAAAGGGAAGTAACTCAACCATCTCCATTGTCATTGCCTAGAAACAGTCAATTGTCAAATAAAATGTTTAACATTATATCAGTATTTGTCATATTAAATTTTGACATAATAATTAGGATATACATATTATCGCCCAGTGTAATGGACATTGGCCTGCTTTTGGAAATGTCTGCTAGATCTTTAATTCAAAATGCATTTAGATTTGAAATACTTCATTTATTTAAGATAGCAAGGTAAAAGTATTAAGTCCACTGGCCTGGAGGTTTTTTAACTTTTTTTCAGAGTTCTGTCTCAAATTTCGGGAAATGTAGATTAAAGCTTTTAAGAAATAACAGAAGTATTTCTATGGCATAATGGGGCTTTTACAGATAATATCAGGCCTTATCTATAGAATACTTTTTTTGTTTGTTCATTACATCATACCTTGTATATAAGCTAGGTCTACAAATGCCATAATCTATGTATAATGTATTAAGATACAAACTAATCTAAATCTATCAAATTTCTTTTTTTCATCTTTTAAAACATTAAAACAATTTAGAGCAAAATAGATTAGTTTTGAATGATTTTTGCTGTCCAAGTCTAACATTAATGAGCCGCATCACGACAAAACCAACATAATGGGTTTGAGACCAGCATGGATCCAGACCAGCCTGCGCATCCGCCCAAACTGATCAAGATCCATGCTGTTCGCTATCAGTTTCTCTACATGTAATAGGGTTGGTAAACGAACAGCATGGATCCTGATCAGACTGCACGGATGCGCAGGCTGGTCTGGATCCATGCTGGTCGCAAACCCATTATGTTGGTTTTGTCATGACGCGGCTCATTTATTGCATGATATATTTTTGCAGGAGTTTGATGTAGAAGATGTGGGGTTTGTTAGAGAGAGTCTCCAGTATTTACCATATGCCCCGTCATTATCTTTCCTCAAACAGGTAAGTCCCCTACAGTATAGTTTATAAACAGTTTATTAAGCCCATGGCTGCCATTATTACAGATCTATGACACCTGAGTTTTGCACTCCCATTACTGATGTATTACATCACCTTAGGGCAGTAATGGGTTATGTCCTTCTAAATTTAATAGGAGTTAACCAGTTATTGCATTTAGGGGATAGTAGTATGTTCTTGACAGTATAGCATCAAGTTTTAAGTCTGTACATGTGTGTAGTCTGACATCTGCCATAATATAATATTATGCTTAATTAACACAACTGGTAGAGCATTGGATTGTGAATTGGACCACCAGGGTTTGATTCCCTCAGGTCATTATGCCCCCACAATGTGGGAGCATATAGCGTTGCACTTGTCCGTCCGTCCGTCCGTCCGTCAGTCCGTCCGTCAGTCCGTCCGTACGTCCCGAAATCTTGTGAACGCAACTCCTCTTAAACCGGATGGCAGATTTTGCTTAAACTTACAGGGATGAACAACCTTAATGTGTAGATGGTAGTAAAGGAAGGAATTTTCGCTGCGACCAAATTTAACAGAATTATGGCCCTTTGTTGATTTTTTCACTAGATACTATGTAGAAATTTTGTGAACGCAACTCCTCTTAAACCGGATGGCAGATTTTGCTTAAACTTACAGGGATGAACAACCTTAAGGTGTAGATGGTAGTAAAGGAAGGAATTTTTACTGCGACCAAATTTAACAGAATTATGGCCCTTTGTTGATTTTTTCACTATACACTATGTAGAAATTTTGTGAACGCAACTCCTCTTAAACCGGATGGCAGATTTTGCTTAAACTTCCAGGGATTAACAACCTTAATGTGTAGATCGTAGTAAAGGAAGGATTTTTTGCTGCGACCAAATTTAACAGAATTATGGCCCTTTGTTGATTTTTAGTTTTCAACTTGTGGCACATGTAGTCCAAAAAATATTTGACCTAGAGTCATAAGATTGACAGAACAGTGGCGTGTGGGGGCATCAGTGTCCTATGGACACATTTCTAGTTTTCATCATGATTGATCATGAAATCATTTTGTATGGTCATTGGTACTATACCTCAACCATTAGATCATTTTCAGATTTTAAAGGGAAAGGCAATGTAAAAATAAAAAAAAATAATATCATAAAAAAATATAATTACTCTGCAAATTTTTTTGCAGTCAAATAATGATACTAAATGCTTTATAACAAAATTTAATAGTTTAATCACCGAAATCTACAAAGCAGTGGGCGTAATTCCATATTTGTGTAATTGGCGCATGTGATGTCATACACCCACATATTTAGATTTACTATAAAAAAAATGTTGAATCGTCGTGAAAGGTAAAGAATTATTATTCTAAAGTATTGACCAGAAAAATAAATTTAAACAGTGAGGGTGTGTAGAAAAAAAGTATTTTTGAGTTATAAATGCGTAACAATATCCAAGAAAATAAAAAAAAACAAATGAAAAAAACCAACGGCCTACTTGAACCATGAATTTCAGTCTTTCGCTGGCTGCTCAAATCATTCACAAATGATACAATATTACTATTGCATCTTGCAGGAAATATTGGTCGGACCAAAGACGTATTTCCAGATTGTTGGCACAATGTTGCTGCATAAGAAAATTTTGTCACAGACGGAGAAAAGACGAGCTGTTTATAACTTCCCAGGATTCTGCTCAGGATGTATGAGGATGGGCCTGTGTTATGGCTGTGAGAGAAGTACTGAAATACAGTAAGTGTTGCTAGGGTACAGGTTATTTAGAAGTTCTACTAAAATGTATCAAGTTGCTGAAGTACTTTAATTTGAAGCACTGCAGAAATAAATTTATGCTAATTGCTGTTCAATAATACTGTATAAAGGTGCTGAAATATAATAACTGGTGCTGAAATTAAGTAACTATTGCTGCAGTATAGTAATTGGTGCTGAAATGTAGTAATTTTTGATGAAATATACATGTAGTAAATGGTGCTGAAATACAGTAGTAAATTGGTGCTGAAATATTGTAATTGGTGGTGAAGCAGGGATTTGGTGCTGAAATATAGTATTTTGTGCTGAAATATGGTATTTGGTGCTGCAGTATGGTAATTTGTGCTAAAATACAGTAATTGGTGCTGCAATTTAGTAATTGGTGATGAAAAACAATAGTTGGTGTTGAAAGATAGTAATTGATGATGAAATATAGTAATCAGTGCTGGAATACAGTACTGGTCCTGAAATGTAGTAATTGGTGCTGAAATATGTATGATTATTAAAAATATATTGCATGTAAATCTGCCAGTCTTACCAACTTGTCCACATGAGACAAGAACTGAGCATATACCTTTTGCCACATAAATTACTTGTAGTATATTTCATTTATGAAGTTGAAAAAAGGAAATTCATCAGCTAGGCAATACTCGTATTTTACTTTGAATCATTTTGCCTCAGATGACTATGTTTAAATCCTTCAAGTGTTGTTGATGATTATTATCTGCCACTGAGCTTACTGAAAAGTATCTTGAAATTTAACCAATATGCCTGAATGTGCCTGGAGTAATACTGTGAGTTTGAGGGTATGTGTTTATAAGGTCTTCCATTACCACTTAAGCTGGAAAATGGCAATTTGTGACTCTAAATACATTGTTACTGGTTACTTAAAAACAAATTCCACCTCCCTCTACCCTTGCCCCAATCCTACCAAAAAAAAAAAAAAAAAAAAAAACAACAACAAAGAATGAAATAATCAAAATTTTATTGCAGCTTCCATGAGGACAAGCCTGTAAAGACTGGTGGAGGATTTACTTACTTCAAAAAAGACAGACCAGAGAATGAGATCAAGTCAAGGAACCCAATTAACTGGAAAATACAACACCCAGATCAGGCTCTCAAGAAGCTTATGGAAGGTAATAGCCAATAAATTACAATGTTATTTATGACTGATTTATAATGTCATGGAGTGAAGTTTTACAAAATCGAAGGTACTCCGGAAAAAAAGACCTGCAAAATGTTAAAATGTATGGTAGTCAATTTTGGTTTTAAAAAGAAAGTAAACAGTATAGAATTAGTGTTAAAATTAAGACACATGTTTGCTGTGGTTAGTTTGGTTTATAGTTCAATTGTGTAGGAAGCCAAATATAGCTTATAGACACCCTTGAGTCCATTCCTGGAACTTAAAAAATCAGTACTGAGCATGAGTGAAAAGTTTCTTGCTCAAGGTTACATCAACTTGCTCCTGACACTCACTGGTTTGAACCCACACGGCTAGCAAATTCATTAGATTACTAATCGCTGACATGTTAACCACTCATCCAGTTTATATAAATTTTAGTTTGATTGAGTAAGAAGCTATTGAAACTCTCTTAAAATTGTTCCTGGAACCAAACAGTACCAAGCAATGAGTGTTAAGTTTCTTGATCGTTGTAAGAAATACTTGCCCCTGACAGTGTTTGAACTCACATGGCTTTCTATAGCCCATGCAACCACTATTGCTTGACATTGAATCATTGACTTTTCTGTGTAATGCTTATGAAACTTATAGAACTTAATAAAATCCTAAGATTTTCTATGGCAACTCAAAATAGCAATGGTTTGATATTTTTTATGGGGCTTCAAAACGTCAGTTTTATTTAAGAAATCTTTCATAATTGCTCTACCCAGGTTCCAAATTTCACAGAGAAGTACATGGAATACACCTTTATTAAGATCACTTTATAGGCTAGCAATTATGATTGACAATGCAAAACCATTCATTAAAATGTTGTTTACCTGTATCCTTATATATAAAAGCAAGATTGATTGAAACAAGTTAAATGAAAATCTAGAGAATATATTAAATTCCTGTGTGAGTTTTCATTATGCATTCTTCACAGTAAAAAAGTTTGCCTGTCTATAGATTACTTGTTATTAATTTATTGACTGATGCTGGGATATAAGTCATGCTTGATTTCAGATTACTTTATGAATATATTATAATGTTGAATGTTCCTATGGTAAATCAATAATTGGAATAAGTCAATAGGTTTATATATCACACTGTAACAAGATTGATTTCATTTGGCTTGATCATAGAACTGTTTCTCTATTAATATAACATTACAATAGAAATCAGATTTATATTAAAATTTCATGACTAATTAGTCATTGTATTTCAATAATAATGCAAATAAATTTAAGACATATTTGTCTTAAATGATTTAATAATAGTATGATGTCTGTGCCCATTGGTTTCAAACAGCTTTATTTGTATAACTGAGAGCTTACTTGAATATGTGCCATTATATAATTGTTAGCTTAAAATATATTTTTACCCTAAAACATATTTTAACCTGTCCAACATGGGTCATCTGTGGCCATGTGGTTAAGGACACCAACTTTAAATCACTTTCTCCTCATTGCTGTGGGTTTGAATCTTGTCAGGGACTTAATTGGATTCTTACCTGTAGGGAAGATTATCCAGCTAGCTTTAGGAAAGTCAGTGGTTCTACACAGGTGCTTGCTTGTGCCTGAAATAATGAAAGGGCACCTGAGAATTCTTCCTCCACAAGTAAATTGTCTCAAATAATGTACAGACAGACACCTATTAGATATTCCTCCACAAATAAAGCAGGAAATTATGTTACTAAATGACTTTAACAGTGTCAGTGTGTTTCTTAAAACCCAATAAAACATGATAATTTTTATTTTTCGTCTTTGTTTTCACTAGAATATGCTGGGGTTGAACTTGAAGGTGCTATACCAGATGAAATCAAACAACACCTGGACAAACATGGTGGTCATCGGGAGAGAATCGTCTCAAATATACCAGACTTTGCTAAAGAAATGCAACAATATAATAATAAAGGTAATGAATACCTGTCAAATTTAACATCATAAAATAGATTCTAGATAGTGAATAGAATTTTAAGAACAAAAGTTAGCCAAGTACATTAGAAGATAATGCTCTGATGAAAGTACAATTATAGCTACAAGAATAATGGTGAGTCATAATAGAAGAGATTAGATATAATTCTCTTAATGTGGTAAATTTGTTTTATGATATAGGAAGTTCAGAAGTTAGACAGATAATCAGTTTAAAAATCTTGAAAATTTAAGATCAGTGATGCATATGTTCATAATACAATTAGAGTTTTAAATTCAATCATAATAATTGTACGATTTTTTTTCAGTTTTGTAATTGACAAATTTTATTTCTATTTTCACTGCTGAGATTGAAAGATTGAAATCCATACTGGTTCATCATGAACTCTTCACCACCACCCCCACCCCAACACACACACTCTTCATCCCTCTCACTTTTAATGACAGTATTTTGTAGTGTTCAGATCAGCCATAATTTAGCCGGAGTTAGTAATAATCATAAGGAAGAATTTTAAAAGTTGCATGTCTAGCTGTTTCTCATAGCAGTATGACACATATTTACTCTTGATTTTTATGCTTCCTGAACCTACATTTGTTCTTTTATAGAAAAATTGATAAAAGGAGATGGGCATTTACCAGATATACATGTCAAGTATGGACCAGCTGGTGAAGGTTATGATGACCTTAAAGGTCAAAATGAAGGTCAATATGATGGTCAAAGTGAAGGTCAAATAAATAGCAGAGGAACCGACCTTGACGGTTACGGTGACAGCAGAGGTTATGACTCTGGTGATGAGAGAGGTTATAGTGGTAGAGGTCAGCATGACCTTGACCCTCGTGATGTCAAAGTTTACATTGAAGGTCAAGGTGATCTAGATGATGATGAGTATGATGAAGATGGTCGAGACAGACGTATAGGTGGGAGGGGTAAAGGACATAGTAGTAGATTAGATGGTGCTAAAAGCTGGAGTAAAACTCAATCAGGATATAATACAAGTGGAGGTAAATATTCTTCATACTTCGTTTATTAAAGTTTTAAGGGGGAGCAGTGGCCTAGTGGTAAAGGTGTCTGCCTCTTAGCCCAGGGATCATGGGTTCAAGCCCTAATCAGGTCACAACCATGTTTCTTTTATATGACACCAGTACTGGTTGGTTCCAGGATCTCGAAAGTGATTAATATAAGTTGCAAAAACTTGTTTCACAATCGAGCTTAGATAAATATGTTTAAAACCATAAAGCTGATTCCGCTAGATGCCTCCACCTGTGCAAAACAGAATAGATTTACTTGAAGTGTTTTTTTTATAATTATATATTTTATTTCATGGCACAGGGGATCATATTAAAGTACATGTCTGATAATATTAAGCTTCTAAATGATGTTTTCAAATGGTACATTTGTTTATAGAACTTAAAGTTGTTTGTAATAGTTGATATTATATACATAGAAATTATTATATTTCAGATGAAGCAGGTCGGTCTGCTAGTTATGATAGATATGATAGACAAGGACATAGACTACCCAAATACAGACGTGTAGAATCTGGCTCAGGTTTGTTAACTAACAAAGTTGTTGTTTTGGTTTCTTTTTTATTTGTTGTTTAATATTTTTTGATAGTTTTTTGTCCATCTACTTATCTTAATTTAAGACATGCATTGGATTTGTAATCCAGAAATTGCTGATTCAATCTAAAGAAGAGGCAAAATTTCTCTGTTATAATCAATTTAGAAATCATCATCATCATAGATTAGTAGTTGGTCACTTGCAGAGAAATTAATTAAACCTGGTTAGTTATCCAGCAAAGCTGATTAGTTTGACCATACTTTAAGATTATAATGAGCAAAAATGTTCCAAAATAGAAAAAAAAAATGAAACAAGAAAATAAACAGTTTAGAATTATATTCTTTAGAAAAGAGTGGCCCCTGATGCAAAGTGGCTTAGGTCACTGATTTGATGTGATCTACTATCTTTCACTACTGTAGGCTTGAATACCTAGGTCCGAAGTTATCAAGAAATTTTCATAGCTCAAACTCAGATATCAGCCATTTGAGTGGTCAGTTATTGCCAATAAATCTCATGAGAATTGAGTCAGAACTCGGAAAAAAAAGTTTTATAACCTTGAGGCCAGTAGAGATGCTAGCTGCATGTGGCTATCTTCTTGAAGAAATTATGTTTTTAGGCCCGTAAATGATCTCTGTTGTAACATTTTAAGATATAAACATCTAGTGTTTATTGTTGTATAAAAGGTGGAATGCAGTGGTACAATATACTAGAACACTGGTCTGACATAATGTAGATTATAGCTTGATTACTGTTGTAAGTAACTCTGTGGGTCATTTAGTTATAACTGTATAGAAATTAAAGAATCAGCGAGGTATTATGATTGTTTGTTACAGAAGAAGAGAATGATGAGGATGGACATTCAGATACTGAAGGTTATAACTCACATCGTGGTCGAAGAAAGGAAAAACTGTACAAAGGTAATTATATTTAAAAACACCCAATAGTTTTTGTATAATAATAAAGATATAGTTTTTTTAGTACCACATTGATTTGATATGGAACTCTTGAATTTAACAAACAATTGTCTTAATCTTAGATATGCAATTCTGTTATATGTACATGTACCACATATAAAACAATTCTGTTTAAGTCTGAACAACTTGCAATTCTAAAATATTATACAATACAGTATATTACAGAACAATATACTATATCAGTACAACAAATTGTTGTAAAATACAACATCAAAAAAACAACATAACCCAACAAAATACAACATTACACTATACAACACAATACAGCAAAACAGCAATAACACTATACAACATTACACTCAAAAAACAATACAACATAAACACAATATGATATTTATTTAGCCTGTGAAATGTACAATCCAAAATTATCTAACTGAGTAAAATATGTATAAATGTAGGAAATTTTTTTATTACAAATCATTTGATAATTCCAGATATATAACACTTTTTCTTGGCCAATTCAGTTGCCTATATATGATAATCAGATATTGCCCTTTTGAACATAACCATAAAGTTACAGTTACAAGTTACAACAAGTACATTACCTAAAAATATTGTCTTCTTTAGGATTTTTACACTGAAGTCTGAATTTTTGTACATAGAAAACATGTTAGTTAATTAACATATTGAAAAATTGACCTTTCTGCCAACGTTCCTTTAAATTAGCCACACCCTCTATAGCAACAGTTGCAAGTTGTTACCTTGCAAGACGAGTCATTTTAAAATTGATTAAAGTTAAACAATACTTGTACTAAGATCTGGCACTTTTTAATTGTTCATAGAAATCAAAATTATAGATTTAAAGATCCTGTAACTCAATTTTTTATTGTTTTATATCATACATATAATGCTCAAATGAAGATTTATCAATACTGTAAGTTCCCAAAAGCGTTATTTGTAAATATATTTTTGAATTAACAATTCTTGTTAATAAAGGGAGGCAATTAGAAATTTATTTTCTATAAAGTCATATTTTTGAATAAGAAATGAATGCATATATTTTAATGATTACCTAAAATGTGGACAAATATTTGTAGTACATATTTTACATATTCGTTAATGTTTGAAAATTGTTTTAGAAGCATAATTATATACATATATAAAATTTCACTTAAATGTGGTAATTACAACCATAATTACAACATACAGGATCTTTAAGGTACTGGTTGGCTCATCATTAAGATATCACCAGGTTAAAAGTAACATAATTAAACATCATAATTATCAATGTTGTTACTTTAATTGCAACCATTTAAACACAGATGACTAATCATTCAATTAAACATGATAAAAAATACATTTTCACTTTTATATACTATATGTAGACAGTCAGCATGAAGGTATTTTATTTGTTGTACATCAGTTGTGTTTTAACCCTAATTCCTGTAATAATATTGTTAAACCTTGTGAGTATAACATAAGGAGATCTCAAGTCCTATCCTTGGTCTGGTCATGTTAGCACCATTAACATATAAGAATCTTACACTGGCTGCAGTTAAAGACTAGAATATCTAGCTCAAGCGTAACAGTCTAAGGAAGTAACTGAATGTCAAGGCTCTGCCAAGTTTTTACTTAACATTTATCTTAGAGCTAATGATTACTAAGTCTTGTGATGACAGCTGGTGTTTAATACTTTTTCTTGCATTATAATACAAATAAATCATATTTTGGATAGAAATTATGCAAAATTATTATTTTCATTTAAGACTTTTTCCTTATAGCAGCATATGAATTTACAACATCATCCATAACAGAAAAAATTACATTTTCCTTTAGAGAACACAGTTCATTCATTCATCCTGTCTGATATTATTCAACCTTAACCTTGATCACATGACATACTGGGTGATAAAATGACTATACAATGTTTCAATGTTGGGACTGCAACCAAAACTCAATTTTTTTATTAATATGGAATCTAACAAAGCCAAGGGTTCCTGGGATAATGTCAGTGAATAAATTTTTGTCAACTTAAATATAACTAATAACTTGTTTAGTGAGGAGGTATTTTCATTTATTTCTTTTTTTTTTTGCCTCCAAACTTCCATATTTCTTGAGGGCTATAATTTTGGTCACGTGATATTTTAAAGACATAGAATAAGTTTAAGATTACATGATTATTATAATTTGCCACATATATTTTCTATGGTGATTTTCTACACATAGTCAGTTTTATTATTGGTCATGTAATTCATAAACATACATGTACTGTTATTATGAGTTAATGTTTTATTCACAATTCCTAGCACTTACTTAAATTATGTTGATACTTATAGAAAGGCAAATATTTCCTTCTTATGACCCTGAACTATATATTCCCAATTTAACCTGGTTATTGTTTTTTTATTGTATGAGTAAATCCCAGAACTGCACTCATCATATTTTGTGTTTAATATGAAAATCATTTATCTATTTAAATAACATATTGAAATTTGATGATAAGTATTATAAAAGTTTATTATGAACAAGGCTTTGTTAGTATAATGATGTACAATGTATATACATGTAGTTACAAAGGTGTTGTCATAATACAACACACTCCATCTCAGACCTAGTTATTCTTTTTTTAATTAATAAACTTTATCTATTTATAAATATATTACATGTTAAAATGGATGAAGCTATACCTGATAAAATATTTCATTGAAATTTAAAAACGGTGAAATCATGATGTTTTAATTCATTAACTTGTGATGGTTTCTTGAATGATTTATAACAAGAATATCTATGTAATAGACAATGTAAACACTTTACCAAATGTAAAGCTTGATACAAATTTTAGTTCAAAGGATGAAATATCTTTTTTACCTCTAAAGATTATATTTGATTTTCTTCTTTTAATACATTTCCTCAGTGTTGAAAATAATGGTTAGGGAAACAAATGCATGTATGCTTTGTTTGAAGTCATAAAATATCTCTTTCACATGTAATATTGACGTCATGCTAAAATGTTGTGATATCATACCTTGATTTTAGCTTTGTCTAAATTATTATGATGAACATCTCAGAAAATTTTGTAATCATTTCAACTCCCCCCTGCTTTTAAGTTCAAAATTTAAGTTTGAAAAAAGAACATATTGTGACCTTATAAGTTGCCCCTGCCTTTAGGTTTGAAAAAAGAATGTTTTGTAATCATTTCAGCTGCCTTTAAGTTGAAAAATAATATTTTGTTAATATTTTAGCTCCCCCTGCCTTTAAGTTAAAGAAGAGCCCTAAAAGAAGTATAGTATCGAAGTCACCATTCAGTACTGATAGGGTGTATGATTTACCTAAAGGTAAAGGACTTGATATAAAGAAGTCAGACAAGCCACCTACACAGTTCAAAGATTTTAGAAATGTTGATGCATCTTGGAAGGTAATGATTGAGAAAATGATGTCAAAAAATAAAAGAATCGTTCTTGAAATGATCAATTATGTTCAAAGTGATGATGATGATGATAAAAGTGATGAATATGTTGATGGTGATAATAATGATGATGATGATGACTGTACATATATATTAATTTAAAAGTACTACAGTGACATAGAGAGTAAAGTTATCACATGGATGTGAAGTATGTAATATTGTCACTTAATTTCATTTTCCATAAAATATATCAATCTTGCAGTTTTTTTACAGTCTTGAAAACATTGTTAAATAGAACAAGGGAGATAACATCAGAAAAACATCAAGCCTTGTATTGAATATGGTTTCATGAGTTCTTTCCCTTGGGTAAAAGCTATATATAAAGTTTCTTGCCAAAAGTTATGACGGTGTTTGAACCCACACTGCTAGTAATCACTAATCCAATGTGTTGTTAACAATTATCCTGTCATGTGTCCAATTTAAGCATGCATGTTTAATAGCTTGTGAATTTTTAGGAACCAAAGAAGTTTGAGCTTAAGAAAAATGAACAGAAAGCAACCAAATTCTGGTCAGGACCACCTCAAAAGGTAAGTACAGCGTGTCTTATTGAAAAAGACATGTATTTAAATAAATGTTTTTTTTTTAACAGTTATAAGTTCAGTCATATAATTACCAGCATTAGTTGCCACAGAAGTTTTCCTTGATGCTGTCCCATTGTAAGTCTGTATGTTGTTTTGTTTGTTGTTGATATTTTGTTGAGAGTCTTTACTCCCATTTTCTCAATATGAATAATTAAAATAGCTACATAATTTAGAGAACAAAGTTTAACACAGTAGATTGAAAATTTGATATGAATATATAAGTGTAAATACTTCTAAAACATGAGTTTTACCTTGCAGAAGAAGGATAAGAAGAAAGGAGACAGGTCACAGTAAGTTTAACTTTAAACTGTTAATCTATATTGTCCAAAAGGAAACACAGAAATATACACAGAATATTATTTCAGACAAAAATCATGATACTTAGTCAATTAAAATTAATATTCTTAAGTGAGAAAATGTATTCTTTCTTTTATTGCAAAATACAAATACATAACAAGTTCTAAAATGACTTAAGCATTTTACAAGGCATAAAATAATAAAGCAATATTAAGCACATTTGGAGTCTGATAATAATATATTATAAAGTGTAAGGAGATTATAAAGTCCTTGTACAATAAGATAATATTTCATTTTTTGGCTTGTATTACACTTCATCCTCTCATGTTGCAGCACATTTATTACATGCCATTTTGTAGAACATAATATCTTAATGTACAAAAAATACAACCTGAAACAGAGATTCTGATACTTTCAGTGGAATTAGAAGAGTTCCCTCCCCTAGGTCAATATCACCAGACTCTGGACTTGACAGTGAACTCCTTACTGGTAAGTACTTGTAGATGAGAATTGTTTTCAGTATAGTAATTTTTCACTGTCTGCGGGAAAAAGTAAAAATCATGATTTGAAATGCTACAATGTTATATGCTGAACAATATCCAGATATATTTTTGTATAGCCGGACTTTCTATGAGAATCCTACATGAGTGTCTTTTCATGTATTTTATGTCAATTTTATATTTGAATTTTGATATTTGCCTCAAACTTATGAGTTTTAGATTTGGATTTTTGGTTTTGGGTTTTCAAAAGTCAACAGTTTTTGAAATGTCTAGAAATGAATCCTAGGTACAGTAGACTATTTTAGACTTTAGCTATATTCAGCATGTTTGCTGTTCTATTAGTTATAGAGGGTAGAATTTTGTGAAGGAGAATATATCTTAGCCAGCATGCCTATAGCTGTTATGAAAGCATGAAATAATTGTGCCTTCAACATACTACTGTCCTTAAATCTTTAGATAATGGACCATTCCTTGATATTGTATTGGTATTGACAATGAAATGTGAAATTTTCAGGTTATAGTATTTTAGATAGTATTTTGATAATTCTAAATACTGTGTAAAGCTGTTGCCAGATGATTTCATCAACTCTTTAATGAACTGTCAGTGGATGTTAAAATTTCACTCGTATTTTATTGTTATTTTCATTTTATCATTTAGTACAATTATCAGTTCTGTTAAGGTATTATAATAAAACTATGACTTATAAAATTGGTAAAATCTGTTCACTAATCAATATAATTTATTTGATTAAAAGGGAAAAAACAAAAACATTATTGATTGACTATTTTGTTTAAAACAGAGTGTATGTGTCTATTTTTAGCTGTTTTTTATGATAATTATGAATAATTAATAAAATTTTAGCCCTTAACCAGCTATATTTACTAAATGGACTTGCCCAGACTTCATTTTTGGAACTGTCCATTATCAATTTTCGGGATATCAAGATGAAAAATAGAATAGAGCATTATAGTCAGGCTAATTGGTTCCAGCAGGACCATATGTTGTATAGTTATTTTTTTTTTAATATGTAAATTTTATTTTCTGTTGTTTTTTTTTAGTTTGAAAGGAATAAAGACAATGTACTTCAAGTGCAAAAATGAAATTCCTTTCTGTCTGTTTCACCAAAAGACGCATGACCATTGTATTACATGTATTTTATGAATACATTGTTTATTTAAAAGAAATTTTTTTATGTTAATGTTATGATATTCAGATTTTTTGTTTTTTATTTTTTATCACACTAATTTATAATTTTGATTTTTATGAAAAACAAAGTTATTTTAGGGAAGAGACCAGCAGAACAATTAAAAGGTAAGACCAAAAAGCTCAATAAGGATGCATTACTTGGAGAAAATCAAGTCCAAGCTGCTGCTGATGATGATGATCATATTCTAGTACCCACTGACAAGGTAGAGTTAAACGATATAGATATATCATCAAGAAAACAAATTGGTAGAAAAGGGCTAATCAAAGAGAAACCATTGTACAGAAATGAGACAAAAGGTCATGTAAATGAAAAAACTCAATGTATAAATCATGAGCCTGAACTGGTGTCTGAAGAGCTAAATAATAAAGATATAACACCACGGAAACAATCAAAAACTGTCAGAAAAGGGCTAATGAAAGAGAAACCATTATACAGGAATGAGTCTAAAGGTCATGAAAATGAAAAAACTCAATGTATAAATCATGAGCCTGAACTGGTGTCTGAAGAGCTAAATAATAAAGATATAACACCATGGAAACAATCAAAAACTGTCAGAAAAGGGCTAATGAAAGAGAAACCATTATACAGGAATGAGTCTAAAGGTCATGAAAATGAAAAAACTCAATGTTTAAATCATGAGCCTGAACTGGTGTCTGATTTAGATGATAAATATGATTCAAAGGTGAGAAAATTTAGCGAAAATAAAGATATAGCTGATTGGACATCTGTCAGTGAATCTTTAGAAAGAGATAAAGAGTCTGAAAACACAGGAAAGTTATTTACTGAAGACCTTAAAGTCCAAGATCATAAATTAGATCCAAAGAGTAAAGGCATTCCTGGTAAACTTAAAAAGACGAAAAAACAAAATGTCTTGCTGGATGAAAATATAAAAAATGCTAAGCAGAGAAAGAAAAAGACTGTGGAAAGCTCAGTAAAAGATTGTGCATCAATTGTTGATACTGATAATGAATCAGAAGAGGTTTTACATGAGTTAACAAATCAAACTGCAAAATATGATATACCATTATTGAATGGAAAGAGAGAACTGGTTAAAGACACTGACCAATCTGCAGATGATAATCAGTGGGATGAGGTATCCATTAAACTCTCCGAACCAAGTCCAAGACAGAAAAGAAAAGGGAGGAAGAAGAGCAAAGAGAGGTTATTACTTGAAAGTGGTAACACAGACAAAAATGGTAGCCAATCAGAAAGACTTTTGTACACAGAAGGGAGCCAGAGCTCCAGAAGGAGATCTAGCAAATCAAAAAATGTTAGAAATGTGGGTTCCAGCAGCCTGGTATCAGATGAAAGCCTATCAGATGACCTTAGTTATTACTCGACTAGCCTCTCTTTAGATAGTTTTCATGACACTGCCACTGAGTATTACAAAGACTTTGATATGGAGGCATTTCATAGGAAACAAAGTTTAAGAGAACAGCTTAGGAAACGACCAGATAAACTTCCGCCACTTGGTAACAGGAATGAAGGTTTATTTCAAATCATTTTCAAAAGTTGGGATTTCATTTAAGATCATGTTTGTATGGGTATATGCAAAGGCACCTGTATTCAATCTAAACAATATGTTGAAGTTATTGCTAAATAAGCTATTCTTACACAGCAAAATTTTTTTTTTAATGAGTCCATGAAAACTAAATTGGAGATAAGCAATGCAAAAAAGTTTGCAAATTATTATTTTGTTGGATTTTTATGTTGTTTTTTGTTTGTTTTTTTTTGTAATATAAAGTATTAATATGACATTATGGGAAGCACTTTGTTATACACCAATAAAAACACCTGTATGAAAATCTCAACTTTTTGTATGCATCTGATTATATACACATATACACATATATTTTTGTTTGATCAATTTGAAGTTTTACTGTGAGTGTATTGTTTGTCACAGATATGAAAGCATGTGATGATGATTTATATTTTAAGGCTCCACACATATATTTATGGATGCCTTTTGAAAGTTTTTACATTAATTTTGCTAGTTTTGTTTTGTTTGCTTTGCATGGTGTGTACATGTAGCTCCAATTGGTAATTTTAAGGGTTTTTTTTATACTCTCTATAAATAATTATGAATTTCCAATAAAACGTTTGTATTTTCACTAGTATTTTGTATATTTGGTATATATTTGAATTGACTATTTTATCTAGTAATAATTGATAATGATAAGGTGAATGAAAATTGTAGTTTCTGAAATGTTATCATCAGGTAATTGTGTCTTTTTTCAATTTTGTAATTGAACTTGACCAGTCTATATCCTGACTTGTTCTACCGTATATTTGATTGATGTTAGATTTCCTGTCTATATATAGAGGATATTGAATGAGTGTAGGTTTAATACTAAATTTATTGAACGAGTTGAATAAAATCATATTATGCGAGCCTCTGGCGAGCATAATATTGTTTTATTCAACGAGTTCAATAAATTTAGTATTGAATCTACACGAATATAATATTCTATTTATCACATATATAAAATAAGAACGGTAAACTGTTAACAAGAGTCATTTTTCTTTGACGCGCCTATAGTGTAACGCTTACATTAGCGCGCTTTAACGCTATGTTGATAGTGCAAATGACATGACGTCAAAGTGTTATTACACTAGTGTAATTATCGTCTAGTGTAATATTGTTTTTATTAAATGGCTTTATTACACTCCTGCGCCGCGGTTTATGTGATAAGATATTATATGTAACATTCAATTGTTTGTAGATCTCTGAGTCATATCATTATAATGGTAAAATATATAACAAAATCTTTTTTTTTTCAAGTGGTTCTTTAAAAGTGGCAATGACTTAAGATTGGAATTGTTTAAACATAATGTCTCATAACTTATGTAAAATTGTTGTCCTCATCTTTACTTTTATATATTTACTTTATAAGTGTTATAGCTTTATAAATCATCTTAACACTGATCACCTATCATAGTTTATGTATATGTTAAAATTGAAATTGCAGTCATTTTTTTCTTTGTTACATTGCAGTTATTTTTGGTCACTTGACAGTACTTGCTTGAGTACAATTGCAGTTCTTTTGCATTTTATTGTTTTACATTATTTTTATTTTGCTTTATGCATATTATATATAGTAGTAATTTCCATATCTAAATTAATTCACTAGATTTTGATTTTCAGCAAATTTTAGTGTTAGTGTTTTGAAAACCCACAAGGGCCCTAAACCGCAGACAAAACTGTTCAGCAATCATGGTGGGCTGACATCCCAAGCTTCACCTAAAATCATTTCCTTCATGGCACCAATACCAGATCGGTCAAATCATCACCAAGAATCAAGATTAAGTCAAAGTTCCAGATCAAGTGCAAAACCTAGATCAACAACATCTAGTTTGAAAGCCAAGCAAGGTGTTTACAAAAGCATTTTTTCCCAAATTTTTCCCCAGATCAAATGATGTTTAGCCTTCTCACAATTTTGGTTTGCCTTAACTTTTTATAGGTCTATGTTCTATTCAATTTGCAGTTTTAGTATTCTTTAGGTGTTTTTTAAAGTTTTTTTTGTGTTGCATTATCATATATAAATTGATTTGTTTTAAAAAAAATAGACACACACACACAGATTTAGATATTTCATGGGAGCTTTGAAAATATTTATTTATGATAGATTTAGAGTAAAGTTAATGCGTTCATCAAAATTTTCACATTGCACATTATTTGCATGTATTACCACAGACTTTAATTACAAATAATTCAAAAAAAAGAAAAAGTCTGTAGTATTATAAGCAAAAAACAAAATTTTGATGATTGAATATGATGAATGTGTTCATTCCTTGAATTCTTGAAATATGCAATAACAAATAGTATATTCTTTAGTTTGTACATGTTGTAAGGAGTTAAATCTTTTAATACAAATTGGTAAAACCAATGATTGTTTACTTTAAGGTGACAACAGACACTTTCCGTGGTACTCACATAAATGTAATTTAAACCAAGTTATTTTAGTAATAATTGTTATTTATTTAATCTTTGTGCATTAAATGTCGTTGATCAGCATAAAAAATAACATATTTGAAAAAAATGCCTTTGTAAATGATTGATTTTGAATAAAAATCCTAAAATTTTAAATCGTCATATCAAAGTCATTTTTTATTTTTTTGTCATCAAACTTTTGGAAAATAACCTTACTTATATTATCTGGGGAACCGTGTCTCAAATTTTTTCTATCTTTTCTCAAAAAAATATTACGTAACGTCAAACATTTTATGCGACTTTTTTCACCATACATATTACGTAATTAAAGATAATTAAGTCGCTGATTGAGCAAACAAAAATCCCTGACACGGTTCCCTCCGTAAATGAATTTCCTTTCATGTGCTTTAAACCGCATGTTAATTGCTTGATTATTAAAAAAGTTATGCCGATTCAAAGTTAGTCCGACACGCATCAAACGAAGTGTCATAAATCGGCTGTTCTCTCTCGGACCCCTACGTTTCACGCTAAATAATTGCATAATACACAAATATCGCACCAGAGAGGGTCACAAGTTGCGGTAACATACTCTAACAACATTTTATGACCCCGTGACATCTGACCAATTAAAAAGCTGCTGATTAATATCAGTTTATAGCCGAAATTTCTTCAATTCTTAACGTGATTTACTCTCTGTCTAGTATCTGTCGCACATGTCACGTGACTATCGGTAAAATTTGAGGCACTCAGTGGGGGGAAATGGAACGCATTTGCGCACCGCTAGCGGGGTATTTAATTGTTTCCTTTTTGAAGTTTATTATTATTATTATCATCAGCATTATTATTTTATTATACCAGTGTCACTCTGCCTGTGTATTCGTGTATGAAATGCCGTTAAAATATAAAATAAAATAACAAAAAACTGAGCTTCTGACAGTCTATTAAAGTCCATGGTAGATGTACAAATAAGAACGGGATATTATATATTGTTTCCATAAAATTGATAATGCTTCACATTTTTTAATAGAAATGAAAGGTATTACTTGATCATTATGATCTGGCCTTCTTGACTTCTATTATGAATATCATCTAAGCACGGCATAGAGATTCAGTTTCTACCGGGATAGACAATAAATTTCATACTTTGTCCCAGATTTATTAGTACTGTGTCTGATTTACTGGCGAACAATTTATTTTCTCTGAAAATGTATTTTGATATCTTTTTTTTATTCATAGAGAAATAATCATCCTTAGACAATCTAAAATGGTTTAGAAATTTGTCAGGGACACCTTACCACAAGTCATATAGGCGTTCACATAAAAAATGTTGTCTGTTTTTGTTGTTGTTTTACTCGACATTGTTAGAAAACGAGGTTGAATGTAAAGTAAGCCCTTGAATCCGTACAAAAGTCTATCAACTCAATGTAATATCTATCAGATTAACGGGACAGACAAATTATTTTCACACATTATGGATATTTTAGCAACTACATTTTTAATCAACCCCGTGGTTGTGCGATTTGCCGCTATGCTTAATTATTTATGTTACGTACATTGGCCGACAATTTCTTAATTAATAAAAAAGGCTAAATGTTGAGATATTCATAAAAGATGTACGGTAGTTGTACGATACATGTATTACGAGAAGTATGGACCAGTATGGACCTGTAATTCACGGATATATGGAACTACCGATTTCCCTCATTGATGCCTCAACAGGGGGCGGAGCGTTATCGATAATCGACAGGTTACTCGAGTAGCAGATACAAATAGTATAGGTACCGTTTTAAAACGTTTAAAAACACATTTTTTGGACTAACTGCTTCCAAAATTAAATCACGAATGTGTTCAGAAAAGGTTGATAAATCTACTTGGCAAAAAATCTCATTTTAGGTATTTTCAGTGATAATTGACTCCGTTGTCACCTTAATCAGTTGATTATTATCTTGTTTGGTAGGACAAAGACAGAATGGCACTAGGTCTGGTACCAATAGTTCCACAAATAAACAAAAATATGTGATGTACCAGCCCAGATCTTCTACAATCTCTCCTATTTTATACCAGGGAGAGAACTCTGAAACAAAACTTGGTATAGAATTGTTCCCCTTTGTTATATGTTGTCACAAGCATGATCAGTTGTTCTTTTATTTCAGTTGTTTAAGCATGATTATAGATCTGTCGCTTTGTGCAATCAATTTTTCTTACTGCCGCCTGATGGAGCTGCAGAATTTCTTTTTGTTGTTGTTATTGTTGTTTGTGGGGGTGGTCGGACAAAGGGGGAATGGGTTTATAAGGGGTTTATAAGGTGTAATTTCAAATGATCATTATAGATATTCACCATATTACTGTAGAGCGCTATATTCATCATAATATTTGTTGTCTAAAACATAAGTATGGATATTAGGTTAAATTTATTTATCTAAAATAGCAGAAAGATGTTTTTTACAGGTTGTCCAATTGTTCTGAAACATTGTCAGTTCCACTGGTCATCGTGACCAGCAAAATGTTGGTATGCCATTTAACCGAAACAGACGAAATTGCCTGTTACTACATGAAAATAACACTTTGTTGTTTGTGTTGTGTCAGCACTTTGCATGATGATATGTTGTGTTTTAAATAGATGTGATTTTACCATGTGAAAGGTTAGTAAAAATGTCTTTTAAAAAATATATAAAGCTGATAGTGTATAATGTTTAAAACTAAGAAAGAAGACTGCTATTAACACATTGATAGGTAAATATTCTGCTGACAAGAACTTGCCAAAATATGTAAAAAAAGTTTAAGGAATAGTTTTCATAAGGATGTAGTATTCCAATGGTATATATTTCTTTTATTATATTTTAATCATCATTCAATAAGGTACACAAGTATTATAAAGGAAACATTTGTTGGCATATGACAGTTATAATACAATTATTTTAATGTTTACACTTTCAGCATTATCTTCTAATGATGAGGATGAGGAAGAAAATGTAAAGGAAGTTCAGGAAATATATAAAGGTCAAATGACACTCAGTGACCTTGAAAGTGAGTCATCAGTCAACCAAAACCCTCAAGGTCTTAGGTCAAGAAGGCGTTTTCCTAATCTAAAAGTTACAAGGACAGGTCATGGAAGGCAAGAAATCGTGTTAGGGAAAACAGATGAAGATGTTGAAGATGCTGAAAATGACAATATCATTTCAGCTGTTGTAAGAGATAAGAATAATGAAATAATTGAATTGAAAAATCATGATTTCAATGATAACAAACAACACCAAGGAAAGAAAAATGAGTTCAGAAAAGGTGATGTAGGAGGTCAAGGTCAAGTACCAGGTAAAAGACTCATTGGTGGTAAGAAGACAAGGTCATTCCTCAAAGGTCAAACTGAAAATGATGACGTAGTATCCCATGCTGATCTTCCCTTGTCCAAAACAAGACCGAATTCCCCATGGACATTGCCAGACTATAAGGCAAGCAATTTGTCTCCAAGCAACAGGTCTAGGTCAAGGTCAATGATTAAGGAATATCAGAGGATGTTCCAGCGTCAACATTGCAAGAAAAGTGGCAGCTTGCCTGTTGTAAGTTTACACACTAAAGACAATCAAAGATCACAATCTGTGGGAAATTTTACTCCATTTTTTGGTGATGCAGATATGTACAATAGGCATGCTAGAGGAAACAGTAGCCAGGGTAGAAAATCTCATTCAAGAGGATCAAAAACAACAGGTAGAAATTCAAGATCTGGTTCAGTATCGGTAGACAATGAAGGTACATGGATAATCAATGATCCAAGCTCAAGAAAAAAGAATTCTTTGAAGGTTCCTACGGGAAGAAGAGAAAGTTTTCTATCCACAGGTCAATCTCAGTTCACTGGAAGCTACATTGACCAGGGTGTTACATCTGGTAAGCTTAATGATGGTAAAGCAGTAGATAATATTTCCGAGAGAAACCAGGTAAACCAAGAAGTAAATAGTAGTAACATAATTCAACTTCCAAATGAATTTGATGATTATGGTTACACAGAAATATATCATGATACTTCATTTTCACCTCCATTAGTTCCAAGTGATGTTGACAAACCAATGGGATCACTTACTTCACAAGAGCCAGATCTTGAACTTGTTTTTGATGATATTATTGATGTAGAAAATCTTGAAATAGATGAAAATCAGGAGGATGAAAATGATGATGATATTGAGAAGATGAAAAAGCTGGAGAGAAAAAGAAGACACAGGCATAGAAAGCACAGAAGAAGAAGGAAAGAAGAGCTTCAAAAAGATGATGAATCAAATAACATTAAGGATCCAGACCTTGTTATGACAAAGGAAATTGAGGGAGGAACTGAAGACATTAAGGAGAATAATGTTGATGATATAGATAATAACAATTTGGTTAATGTTGAAGAAAATGAAGTTGCTACAGAAAACAGTGATGATGATATTTTAGATGATACTTTAAGTATAGTAGCTAGAGAAAATTCAGGGGAGAAAGACATGGGTAAAACTAAAGATAGAATTGGAAGGTCAAAGAAGAGGCATAGACGAAAGAAAGGTAATACTGGTGATATAGATGTAGATGAAGAAAATAGAAGTAAAAGTTATGAGAAGCATCAACACTCAAGATCTAATGATAGAAAAGGTAAAAGTAGAAAATCAAATAGGAAGCACCTAAACATGAATGCTACAGATAGAAATGTTTCTGCTCAAGATGAAAGAGATCACAGCTATGAGCAGTCAGATAGGAACCAGTCAAAAGATAGTAAAAGATCAAAGTTGAGCAGTCAGAAACAGTCAAATGCTAGTGTTTATGATGAGAAGAAGCCTAGTAAACGTAAACAAAGGACATCAAAAGAAAGAAAAACAGCTGAAAGGACAGAAGATGACTTTTCTGAAGAAAATTCAGATTATAGTACAGACAATAGTGATGACATAGAAGGTAAAGGACAAAGAGGTTTCCAGTCTGAAGAAGAAGGAGGTGCAAATTCTAAGGGAAAAAGAGATTTGAAACATGTCAGAAGAATGAAAGGCAGGAGTGGTAATGTTGAAAAAGAAAATGTTAAAAATGGAGCAGAACATAGTGCAAGAGATAATGGAGATGATCTTGATGTTTTAAATGAAAAAGAAAATGATGACAAAGATAGAAAAATGAAAAACGGGGGTAGAAAGAAAAGGTCAAAAGATAGAAAGGCTCAAAGAAAAGTAAACGGTAAGAATCCCAATAAAGATGTAAACCATAGTGGGGATAGGGGAAGAAAGAAAAGGAAACCTGGTAGAAGCAACAGTTTATCTGAAGAAGAAAATGACATTGATTTTAATCAATTGCCTAGTATCCAAAGTCAACTTGCGAAGATATTTGACAATCAGAGCAACAAACTGCAGGACAAAGAGCCAGAAGAAGACAAACTTGAAGAATCTTCTGAAGAAGAGAATTTTGAAGATGGTATTGGTACTGACTTGGATGAAAATTCAGAGAACGAATCAGATATAGAAGATAACAAGTGGGAACAACAAAGACCAAGTTCTGCTGGAAGAAACAGTGTCCTTGGTGTTACAGGAAGAAAACTGAGCAAAGCTCGCTCTCTGTCAATGCCATTGTTAACTGATATACAGGAACTACAGGAGAGGTTTGGTACGCTTACACTTGAACAGCTGAAAGCACCATTCAAAGTTCCAGTATATCTTAGAGGATTCAGTCAAGGGCCGGTTATTGTAAAGAAGCAGTTTAAAAGCAGTAGGTTGACTCATGATAATTCAGTATTTAATATTTGATATTCGAATTTAAAATTTTATTTTCTTCCACAGATCTGCATTATTTAAATTTCTATTATTAGTTAAAATGACAGATTATGTTGCCCATTTCTTTTCAATGAGTTATATATCAAACAACTGTTCATAATAGAGCCATAAAATCTGTCAAAAGTTTTAGAACAATTTAGTTTTGATACTGCATGATTTCTTTCTTTGATTGAAATATAAAATCCATGATAAAACTACAGCAGTTTTATATTTAAATATTCTTAACACCATGATGGCCCAATGAAAAACTAATTTGACTAAAAGGCCTAAAATGTTGTTACAAGGGTTATATATGTAATTTTTCTAAAATAAAACAATTAACCATTGAAACATTTATTTTGATCTGTGAAATCAATTTGATAGAAAGTGTTTTTAATCTGACATGTTTTGTGGAATTCTGTAGATCCTAAGAGGGTTAAAGGTAGAGACAAAAGGTCAATGTCACTCTCAGTTGTGACCTTCACACCACAAATTTTTGACCTTCAAGGTATAACTATAGAATCACATTGTTAACACCTTATTTGTTGTGTGTTGTTTACTCACTTATGTAATTCGAGGGTTGGCCACAAAACTGTTGTAAGTCCTTCTTTATTTCATATAAGTTACTGCAGTTTTATAGTCATCCCTCGAACTTTTCACTGAAAATTTTTTAAAAATGAAGGGTTTTTAAAATAAACCCAAATGTGGGTGTTTTAAAAGAAAAATTAACCCCATTTTTTTTGTTTAATATTAAATATTTGTATGTTGTTTTTATTGAAGTGTTACCTTTTCATTGAACACATTGTTGCCTGTTTCACATCCTCCTTAATTGTTTTTTTAAATCACCTACAATAATTGTGTCACAGGGGTTATGTAGAACTCAGCAAATGTGGGTTTTTCCCAGCAAATGTGGGTTTTTCCCCGTCTTATCCCGAGGTACAAAGCTTTTACCATAATATAAATAAGCATCACGATACACTACCATTCACATGTAATACAGTGTTTCAGTTAGTATCATTATATTTACCAAAGTTTTACTCAGGGTTTTCATTATTAAAATATCAGCAATCCAATTTAATCATCAGTTGAAATGCTGTTAAAATCAGTTGTATTTTCAGCCTGTAGATTAAAACATCACCCTTGACCCGTCGTCACAATCGGTTGTTTTCATTGGCACATGAGTTAATCGGTTGTTTTCATTGGCACATGAGTATGAAAACCCTCAGATTACTGTGAAAGTTTGTTTATACCTCAGTATTTAATGGGAATCACTCACATTTGAAGAGTTCTAGGAAATCCCTTTTCTATGTGGATTGCTGTTTCCATTATTTCTCTCAAAGTCTTTGTATTCAATGGCTGAAGGCATAGTGTTATTTGAAATACATTGCTTTAACAGTCCTGCAGTGATTCTAGTATGGATCATGATATACTGCACAACAATATACAGATTAAATGTTAATATTTATTGGGCAAATTTATTATTTATTTCAGAAATTATTACTAGATTATGTTTTTATTATATACTTACAAATGAAATATTGAGAAATATTGATGAAATAAAATGCATATTTTCATTTTCCGTATTTTCACTGTAAAAATTTATTTTTCACTGCAGTGAAACATATTTTCCGTATTTTCACTGGTGTCTTGCCGGACTACTTTCTTTTTAATTCTGCCAGTACGCAAAATTTAAGGGAAAGTCTTTCAAATTTTATAGCAAAAAAAGAGAAAAATGTATATAATAAACAGAAAATTCAAGTTTTTTCTATAAATACATGATTTATTTTCATCTTGTGGCATGAAAATTACCATATTTCACTCGTGGCTACCGCCACTCATGAAATATTTATTTTCATACCACTCGATGAAAATAAATCATGTATTTATAGAAAAAACTTGAATATCCTCTATATATTTGGCAAATTTATTATTTATTTCAGAAATTATTACTAGATAATGTTTATATTTGACAAAATGTATTATCTATTTCAGAAATTGTTAATGTTTATATTTGGCAAACTTATTATTTATTTCAGAAATTGTTAAACTTAATGTTGATATTTGGCAAAATTATTATCTAAATATATCTTAAATTTTTCTCAAAGAAAATTTGACTGTTAAAAAACTGGTGTCAACTATATTTTTAAATCAATTCATATATAAACCTGTAAATTAATAGATTCTTAAATAACAAAAATATGGTTAGTTGATCATAACTGAGTAAATTCATGTTAAGTACTGATACTGTAAATTTCAATTTAATTTGAGGAATAATTTATTTATTTTATCAATAAATGATTACAGGGATTAACCCTAACTTTAGAGATTACAGGGATATCAAACTGGGTGCTATATTAGTAGATATGAGCTTGACAAATGAACTGAAGAACAATAGGGGAATACGAGGAGTGTATTTGTTTAACTTTTATATCTGTATTTGCGTTACTGTTCGCCTTAACAAGTGAAACCTGATAATTGTAAGAATAAAAGACTGTTTGAACTGTGACCAACTCTTGTAGACTTAAAGACGAACTACTTTGACTTGTAGGGGGGAAATTGTTAAATATAAGTATAAATTATAGCTTAGGGTCTTGTTTTATAAACACTGTTACAGGAAAACTTTCTAATGAATTTGTTGATGTTCTAAATAATTATATACTTTCAGCATAGAATTTGTTTAATCTTGTAGTAGACATTTAAGTTCATTTATGATTTTATTTAACATTTTATAACTTAAGAAAAGACTGCTTAAAACAATAATTCTTTTCAGGTATATATACTAAGTGAAAAAATTCATATTTTTCTTTTTATATAAAATACTTTTTAACAGTTATCAGCAGTAAAATTAAATTGCTTCCATAATCTTATGGTTGGTTTTGAACAGAGTTGCAACTTAAGATGTCTCTGTTATTTAACACACATGATAATTGAACATGAACAGAATAAAATGTTTCGGAACAAATTATTATGCTGCTGTTTTATTAGTAGGGTTTTACATACATTAAACACTAATTTTGTGCATTTATTTCATAGAAGAGTATCAGCTTATTCTTTCTCTTAAAATTCAAACAATAACTTTTGCAGCAGATAAATTTGTATATTTGCAAAGTTCAGAGTAAGATCTGAATATATTTAACCGAGTGAGCACCAAAAGGTATGTTTCACAAGTTCCGTGCTGCCACGATTGAAATATGAACTTTTGGTGTTCACAAGGACTGAAATATATTTCAATCTTACACTTTACTAAACAAATTTTCTTTTAATAATATGCAAAGGAACGTATAAAAAGACATTTTAACCTAATACTAAGCTCGTCAAATAATATATAATGTGAAATCATTAACGACCTCACATCATTAAGTTGGTAATTTCCAGTACTATGCACGCTGGTATTTCACTGAAGCAATTAAATAGGCTTAAATTCAAACTGAGAATATCAGTTTATATTTCACTGATATATTTCTATAAACCACCGAAAAGCATGTAATAAATTATAAGCTTTATACACTTTAAGAATATAATGTTTATGGAAAAAAGGTTACCCCTTTAATTTACTATTTGTTTAGACTATCATACAGTTTAAGTGATAATGTTTCAATTCCTTTCATTGAAATGGTTAAAGTGAAATTTGATAGGTGTCCCTTTAAACTTTGATATCATAGCTTTAGGAGTCATTGATTGACTTTTGTTTCTTCTTAAATCTCAATTTACATTTACAATTATGGTTAAAAAAAGCCATAGTGATTTTGATAAAAAAGTGTAATATTAGATATATAATAATGTAATAATTATTCTCAGTATATACACTGGAGATATTTAGTTCGCAGATAAAAGATATTTGAAATTTTTAGTTTTTTTGGGTTTTTTTTGTGGAATTAGTGATAACAAGAGTAAATTAGTGAAAGGAAAACTATATATAATTGGATATAATATTGATGACATCAAATGATATAAGGTAGATTTTTATGTTATAGATTTAGATAGGTTGATAATTGGATAATAGATTGGATAAAATTTCTTTGATACTGCTGTCACGGTTCAGGACTGTTCACTATTTAGGGGGAGAAAAATGTGCAGCCTGACCAGGAATCGAACCCGTGACTTTCAGAACTGTAAAGTGGCTTTTCCGACTGAGCTATCCAGCCTCTTACACATCTTCGGACCCTTAAAAAGTGAACAGTTCCTGAACCATATGACATTTCGCCATTCTGTATTAAAACCCTTTATCTGCTGAATTTCTTAAATAGACTTGTCCAGCTCCTATTTTGGAAGTGATCATTATTATTTTTGGGGATAATGAAGATGGAAATACTTATGTTGGTCAACCAACAGTATAGAGTCTATTCAGACAGCATACCTGGTCAGTGCAGGCTGGCCTGGATCTATACTGGTTGCACTGGCAAGTCAATTTTGATTCCAGCAATGAAAGTAAAAAATTGCAGATTTTTTAGGAGAATATATTAGTAGGGTATTTAAAAACAGAAAGCAAGAACATTGTACCTGTAATGCAGATGTTATTACTTTGTGTTTGTTTTTTTGTCTATATACATTTTTCAGGTAATAATTAATGTAATGTTGAAATTAATGTTGTTATTCTTGTTAGTAAGGTGTAAGGATTATTTCAGACCAAAGAGTATTGCAGCGGCCTTGGAGTCAGTAAATTACCCCTGTGTGTACTGAACAGCTTTATTTGTTGTATACTAACACAGTGTTATTTGAATAATCTTTTCAGGTAAAATGTTGCAGGCATCAATAATGTAACTGTTTTAAAACACCTTTATTTTCAGTCCCTTTTATAATTAAAATTTAGCTGAAAATTTTAAAATGTTGTAATTTTAAAGAATGATTTACTTGATAAATTTTCAACAGAAAATTTACAAAAAACCTGGTGAGGCCCAAAAGCAGCCCCTAAGCAGCAAAATAATTTAGCATTTTGAACGATTTCCCTTAAAGAGCATCCCTCCAGTTTCTTTGGTAAAAATAGCAAAAAATACCCCTTTTTTTAAGTTTTTGTGTTATTGAGTAAAAAAAGTTTTTTAAATCGCAAGTCAACATTTATGGCAACAAACTATAAATTTTTATTTAAATTTGAATCGTTTTTTTTTTTAAAATATATACATTTACTAAATTTTGTTTTTTTTGAATATTTGGTTTCATCGGGAGACAAGCTTTTTAATATTAACCTAGATTTAAAACAGCCAATTTCCAAAATTAAAACGGGGAGAGTTTTATTCCGACCTTTAGGCAGTAACATTTTAATTCTATATATTTTAATAGGAGTGTAAACCTGTTACGCACTAAGTTTCCCCCTTCAAATTTTAAACAGGAAAGCTTTTTTCACTTTTTTTCTACATGTAGAAAAAAAATTGCCCAAAAATTTTCATATTTTAAAAAAACGCTTATTAACCCAATTTTTCCCTTTAGTTACATTTAACATTTTATAAAATATTCAACAAAAAGAGGTTGTAGAAGTGTTCAATTAGGGTTTTTTTACAGTTGCTGATAAAATATTGATAATTTTTTAAAATAAACAAAAGGTTTTAAAATACACAAATTTTATTTTGGGATTTAAAAAAATGTTTATTTATTGTAAACTTTTTTAAATACTAGCAAATGAATTACTTTTTTGTACCAGAATAAATGACACAAACCATTGGGCCCTGAGGAGAAATTTAAAGCAGAGTCTTGTAACAGAACTCCATATGTTGCCTCGCTAATTTTAGTACATGTATTTTGAAATGGAAATCCATTGACATATAACAATAAATAATGAATGATTCCTAACTAAAGGTAGATCATGTTTATTACATAAATAAATAAATAAAAAAGTAAATAAATATAAATTAATTAATTAATTAATTGATTAATTAATAATTAAATAAATAAGCAGTTTAAATTTAAGAGTCATTGAATTTTGTAAGTATTTGCTGATATAATAAATTTTATTTTTGAAAATTTATGATTTTTAGTTTTAGATTATATCTTGATATTTTTGATATTTAAATATAATTAGTCTGTGTGTACAATGTACCAATTTTTATCATATTGTTGTTTTTGTTTGATATTTGCATGAAATAAATTGCATGTTTGCTAATTTTTGATGTGTTTTAACTTTTATTTACATATTCATGTGTTTCATTTCCATATTCATATTTTCTATTTACATATTCATGTTTTTTAATTGAAATAACATATTCTTGTTTTATTTACATATTCATGTGTTTTTTGTACATGACTATAATTGTATAAAAAATTATATTCCGTTATCATTTCTGTTTTATAATTTTACTGTTTTGTACTTTTTTATGACTAATTGAAAACAAAAAATGACTGTAAAGTTGGATAAGTTGTTGTTGGATAAAGTCTTGTTTTTTAATTAAATATCATCTTTATTCAATTTTTAATATTATTGGTTAATCATAATACTCTATTCCTTTCTTTACCGGAATTTTGTAAGTCTGTGAAGCAGTCATTGTTTATATCAAAAATAAATTAAGTTAATTGTAAACATTTTGTAATTTCAGATTCAACCAATAAATCTGAACCACTAGAGCCAGTAAGGGAGGAAACTCTTACAATAACTCCAGATATGAGTAAGTTTCTAAATGGATTATCTCTCTTGCTTTTAGATAAGTTATATTATGGGTGACGGTGAAATGCCATATGCAACATAACCTTTTAGCAGAAAATGCAATAAGTGAATCTTTCAGTGTGTGGTTTTGTTTACCTGTTAAAGTTTCATAGGTCCATTAAAGGAACTCGACTGAGGTTCAAAGGTCTAAAAGCATGAAATATGAAAATCTTAAAAATATCAAGTGAAGCACTTAAAAGTTAAAATGGTAAACTCTGCAATTTAGGATAACAACAAAATATACTCAGACTTGAATTGTCAAAATCAATTTTCTGTTCAATTCTTAGCCTGATTTGAGCGAAAAGTGTTCCAGAAAAATGATTGGGATGAGAGAAAATCCTGAAAATTTGCTCACAAGTTATTGGTCCAGACCTTTATCATTTTGTACAACAGTCTCCAGAAAAATATTTCCAGTCCTGACAAGTCAAATCAAAGGGCTGCAGCTCTATGGTATTTTCTGATTTTTGCAATCTAAATCATACTGACTTTCCTGTATAAGTTTATTTTTATATACTATAATTCATCTTACGCAGCGACAGCGTTTTCATTTTCTTCTATAACAGTTTGAGATTGATACATATGGAATTTTGCATGAAAAAAAAATAGAATTGCCTCTACTAGGATTTGAACCATAGGCCTCGCACACCCTCAACGAGACCGCTTACCTCTGCACCATGGCGAAGTTATACATATGTACCTTGAATAAAAACGAATACATTATGTAATTCTAAATTGAGAATTTCCATTTCGTGTTTGTAATCCTTATTAATTTCGAGGTATTTTGTTCACGATAAACCTGTTGTTTAACACTGATGAAAATAATTTAGCGAAAATCTTCTCGCCAAAACAGTCCGACATGTATATATTCCACTACTCGAGTACTACGCTCTGGAGTATTCGGTAATCGACATAGCTAAAAATAGCATTTTCATTGATTAAAATGATATTCATGATAATCTGAAGCTTTACGGAAATAGTCGAACATTTTTCATTGGGTAAAAAAGATATTCATCCGCGAAATTTGTGATTGTAACCTCATATTTCTGTTGACTAATCTAAACTTTTAATGCACTGTAATTCGTTAAATGCCTACATTAAAAATTATTCTTTCTTTTAAATTGCTGGTTTTTAAGCAGTTTTGAGTGAGAACTACTTTGCGTTGTTAGGACTGTTAGGAAATTTTGTGTTAGACCGTGGATGTTAGCTATGTATTTACTGATCTTACAATCAGAAAATACAAAAACCTCAGGGGAGTTCCTTTAACAACTTTAACAACAATGATTGACACAATCTCATTATTCATGAATCAACTGTATTATTTTATATCTAAAAAAAAATTTAAATTTTTTTTTTTGTTTTGTTTTTTTCTGACAAAACAAACAACAAAGGGAGTCGGAAATAAAATACCTTAAACATTCTAATTGGAAAAGAAGAAATATGTGATAAGAAATAATTAATTTGCTATCACATTTTAAATCTAACAGATTATCTAAATAGATTAGTTTATTGTAACAACATTAAAATCAATTAAAACTGAAATAAACGGCGGGTTTAAAAGACTTTAGAGTGACTTAGCAACATTAAATTGTGACACTTAATGTACACCTTTAGAATATAATGTACTAAATAATGCTTTCTTTTGAAGTGTTGATGTTATCTTTGTTTAACTTGTTAAAGGGATGAATTTTAAAGGTATATACCTGAACTTTATGTTGCACTGGAAATAGTGCTTTAATTTATCACATTCGTATAAATGTGAGGTAGAGTGGTGGCCTAGTAGTAAAGGTGTCTGCCTCTCAACCCAGAGATCATGGGTGCAAAGCTCTACTAGGTCAAGACCATGTTTCCTCATAATATGACACCAGTATTGGTTAGTCCCTGAGGAAGCGGAATCGATCGAAAGTGATTAATATTAAGTTCCAAGAAGTTGTTTTGCAATCGAGCTTAAATATTTAATACATTTGAACCATAAAGGTGTAGTGTAATATATAAGTGGTTAACAGAATAAAAGTTAATGAAATATGACATATAGTCAAATATAAATTTCAAAATCATTGAAAATAATTATCTAACATGCACATAGTCATTGAAAGCATGTCCATGATTTTCAGTTTTTAGCTCACCTGTCACAAAGTGACAGGGTGAGCTTTTGTGATCGCTTTTCGTCCGGCGTCCGGCCGTCCGGCGTCCGGCCGTAAACTTTTACTTTAAATGACATCTCCTCATAAACCACTAAGCCAATTTCATCCAAACTTCACAGGAATGTTCCTTTGGTGATCACCTTTAAAAATTGTTCAAAGAATTTAATTCCATGCAGAACTTTGGTTGCCATGGCAACCGAAAGAAAAAACTTTAAATATCTTCTTTTAAAAAACCCAAAGAGCTAGAGCTTAGATATTTGGCATGAAACATCTTCTAGTGAGTGTCTACCAAGTTTGTTCAAATAAAAGCACTGGGGTCAAAATTGGCCCCGCCCCAGGGGGTCATTGATTTTCCCTATATGCATATAGTAAAAACTTAAGAAATCTTCTTTTAAAGAACCCAAAGAGCTAGAGCTAAGATATTTAGCATGAAACATGTTCTAATGAGTGTCTACCAAGTTTGTTCAAATAAAAGCCCTGGGGTCAAAATTGGCCCCGCCCCAGGGGGTCATTGATTTTCCCTATATGCATATAGTAAAAACTTAAAAAATCTTCTTTTAAAGAACTCAAAGAGCTAGAGCTAAGATATTTAGCATGAAACATGTTCTAATGGGTGTCTACCAAGTTTGTTCAAATAAAAGCCCTGGGGTCAAAATTGGCCCCGCCCCAGGGGTCATTGATTTTCCTTATATGTGTATATCAAAAACTTAAAAAATCTTCTTTGAAAAAACCCAAATAGCTAGGGTTTAGATATTAAGCATGAAACATCTTCTAGTGTGTGTCTACAAAGTTTGTTCAAATAAAAGCCCTGGGGTCAAAATTGGCCCCGCCCCGGGGGTCATTGATTTTCCTTATATGTGTATAGCAAAAACTTAAAATCTTCTTTGAAAAAACCCAAATAGCTAGAGTTTAGATATTAAGCATGAAACATCTTCTAGTAAGTGTCTACAAATTTTGTTCAAATAAAAGCCCTGGGGTCAAAACTGGCCCCGCCCCAGGGGTGTCATTGTTTTTAACTATATGTGTATTATAGTAAAAACTTAAAAAATCTTCTTTTAAAAAACCCAATGAGCTAGAGCTTAGATGTTTAGCATGAAACATCTTCTTATGGGTGTCTACCAAGTTTGTTCAAATGAAGACCCCCTTGGGTTAAAATTGGCCCTGCCGGGGGGGGGGGGGGGAAAGAAGGAGGTCATTGTTTTTCATTATATGTGTGTAGTGAAAATTTATGAAACTCATGAAACATCTTCTAATGGGTGTTCCAAGTTTGTTCAAATAAAAGCCCTGGGGTTTAAACTGGCTCCGCTTTGGGGGCCTATATACAGGTGAGCGACCTCAGGGCCATCATGGCCCTCTTTTTTATTTTTTTATGAAATCTGCATGTTTCCAAAACTTGTTTTAGGAAAAAAGATTTTATTTCATCTTTTTCAAATAGATATAGCTTTAAATCTAAAATTAAGTTCTTTTATTTAATTCTTTATCATTTTTTATACATACATGGAGTTACTGCTAAAAAAATTTTCATTCAAATGGGATCTCTTCCTTTAGCCAATAGTTTATGTATGAAAATTATCATTATATCTCGTGACATAGTTGGCACGTTTGATTGAATAATTGACTGCTATTATGGAACGATATTCCACATTGTCAGCACCGGCTGAAAGAACAATAAGCATTAAGCCTATAGAATGACTTACAGGATACATTTATTCAAATAAATCAGCCGAGGTTGTAATGATCTAGCCTGCTTGATTGTTGATAATTAGTTAATTATTTAGTTTGATTAAAATCTGCTAAAATTCTTGCTAGTCATTACAATAAAGGTTTTTGGTTTAAAAAAATGTTCATTAACTTACATGTTAATAATTAAAGGTAACCATAATTGTGCTAATCATGTGGAAAAAATGTGAAAATGAAATAATTGCTGGATTATTATTGCACAGCCAGTTTGGAATTGAAAATAGTGAAAGAAAGTGTTGTAAATAGTTTGTGTGGAATTGAGTGGCTTCCTTTCTAGATTTAAGTTAACAGACTATAAATCTTTCTTGAGTAATTCAGGAAATTATTAATTTTACTTTTAATAATGATCTGAAATTCATTTTAAAAATTATAAATTATTTATACAGGGTGGAATATCAAGTAGTGTTAGCTGTTAAGATTATGAAAAAACAGCATTTTTACAGCTCTCTTTCTCAAAATTAAATAATATATAATAAAATTTTTATGATGGAAGTGATCTTCACATTATATACTATAACATGGAGGAAAAATAATATAACACAGATAAAAACAACTCAGAAGATGAAATAGTTTCTGCAGAAACATTGCTGAATTTTAGTCGGTAAAAGAAAAAAAATACTGAAAATATGTCACAACAACACGCAGGTGCCTCCTTGAAGGAGTCTTTATCGAGACAAGGCAGTTTTACAGTGTCGCAACTGTCACGAGGAAATAGTTTCATATCCCTGGCAAATAGTAACATCAACGGCTTAACAGATGGCTTACAGACAGAGGCCACGATTGAAGGATCTATAAAAATTTTATCAGTTAAGTCGCCCACTGAGGAGCATTCTGGGTATGTTAGGGACCTGACAAAATTTTCAACGCGGGATAGATTAATGCAAGATTTTTTACATCGTCAAAGACGTGTAGGCAGTGGAGGTACAACTATTTCAAGAGGTTAGCTGACAGTTGTACTCATGTTTGATCATTTTCACACTCTTATCTGTGATAATAAATGAAATAAAACACTTTCTTTTATTAAGTGTCTTGTGGAAATGTAAATATATAAGAATCTAATTAAATAAGCCGTGAATTATGGCATAACAAATTTGCTCGATTTAATTTGTGAGGAACAGATTAAACTGTTTTTATTAAAATTCACTAACTAAAACAAACATTTACATTGATCAGTCTTATATTAAACGCAGAGATACACCAGTCTTATATTAAACACACAAAAACATCAGTCTTGTAGTAAAGCCAAAAGGTACATAAGTCTTATACATCAGTCTTGTAGTTAAGCACACAGGTACTACAGTTTTGTAGTTAAACACACATATGCATCAGTCTTGTAATTAAGACTCATATACATCAGTCTTGTAGTTAAATACTCATATACATCAGTCTTGTAGTTAGGCAGACATGTACTACAGTCTTGTAGTTAAACACACATACACATCAGTCTTGTAGTTAAACACTCATATACATCAGTCTTGTAGTTAAACACACAGATACATCAGTCTTGTAGTTAAACACACAGATACAACAGTCTTGAAGTTAAACACACAGATACAACAGTCTTGTAATTAAATACTCATATACATCAGTCTTGAAGTTAAACAAACATATACATTAGTCTAATGGTTAAACACACATATACATCAGTCTTGTAATTTAATACATATAATTATATACTGTTGACCTAGTGATTAAGGTGTCAGCCTTTCGGATTGGAAGGTCGAAGGTTTGAGCCCCACAAGGAGCGTTAATTGAAATATGAATGTTTCTCATGGGACTCATTCCGAAATGGCCGCTTCATGAGCCGCGAGGTTGTTAAAATGAATGGTTACAGATTTCTATCCGCCTGGCCCCTGGCATAGTGGTAGGAGTTGGGAGGTACATGGTATGCAAGCAAAGGTGTCTCATAAGTCAGAAATGGCTGGCCCTTTCAGTAGGGGTGACACTAAAATAAACAAGACCTTTACCTTTTTATATATAAGTTTTGTAGTTAAACACACAGATACATCAGTCTTATAGTTAAACAAACATATACATCAGTCTTGTAGTTAAACACACAAATACAACGGTCTTGAAAATAAACACACATATACATCAGTCTTATAGTTATAAACAAACATATACATCAGTCTTGTAGTTAAACACACATATACATCAGTCTTGTAGTTAAACACACATATACATCAGTCTTGCAGTTAAACACACATATACATCAGTCTTGTAGTTAAACACACATATACATCAGTCTTGTAGTTAAACACACAAATACAACAGTCTTGAAAATAAACACACATATACATCAGTCTTATAGTTAAACAAACATATACATCAGTCTTGTAATTAAATACATATATATCAGTCTTATTGTTAAACACACAGATAGTTAAACATACAGATACATGCGTGTATGTCTGCACTGCAGTATAACTATGGTGTTAAGGAGTAAGTTATCATTTAGAATTGTTTTATTTGTCTGATTCACATGTATTGTGATATTTTGTGGGGTCTGCCAACTGGTCAACTTAATCTGCGCAATATTGTAGCGCATACTTAATAATATACTAAATTATTGCTATGATACTGAATTTTCTGTATAATACTGAATTTTCTATATCTAACTCAATTGTCTGTATAATGCTCAATTTTCAATACTGAATTTTCTGTATAAATACCAAGTTTTCTGTATAATACTCAATTTTCTGTATTATTATGCTCAATTTTCTGTATTATAATGCTCAATTTTTCTGTATTATAATGCTCAATTTTTTTAATATTCTGTATAAATTATATTCAATTTTGAGTACAATAATCAATATTTTGTAAAATACTAAATTTTTTAATAATACTCAATTTTCAGTAAAATAGTTAATTTTCAGTATAATACTCAATTTTCAGTATAATACTCAATTTTCAGTATAATACTCAATTTTCAGTATAATACTCAATTTTCAGTATAATACTCAATTTTCAGTATAATATTTAATTCTGTGTATATTTCTAAATTTTCAGCATAAGTGATTCTTACATTTAACATGGAATTTGAACCATTTGCAGAAAAGATGTCAATATTTTGTGATATAAAATAAATTGATTAATATGAAATTCATCAATACGTGGACTGGTTTAATTAATGTAATGAAGAAGACAACATTTGTGTTTAATGGCGGTTTTATATCATAGAGTGTCTGCCTAAGAAATATTATAGATTGAGCTATGAAACTAGACACGACTTTCTTTGATTGGGAATAGATTATTATTGATTAGGATTAGAAGTGACTGTCATACATTGTACATTGAATGTTAGGAACATCACTGGAGTTAGAAAATAAAACTATACATAAATTTACATTTGAATCAGTTTTATCAATTATAAGGAAATAAGTACAGTCATGTATTATCACTAGAACAATCATAGGCTCATTAAAGCAGCCTTTTAGCTTTTATTTTTTGTTTGGAAAACAAATCTGTGTTGTTTCAAACTAAGTATTTCAGTAAATTTATCTTGGAAAAGTTCATCATGATCACAGTGTTCAAAGCTTCTTCAAACAGCGTCCCGAGAGCTGTTTATCACATGTCAATGATGTTTGTGTCTAAAACTAGAAGATCGATAAATGAATCGTCCACTGTACTAGTTAAAATTTTATATTGAGAGCAGACTGTTAGATTAGAGTGATTGAGAGGTTTCTTGAGTTAGGGCACATGAGTAGAACCACCAATGTTCCTTAAGCTAGCTATATAGCTTCCTCACATGAAAGAAATCCAAAGACCCTGTTTGTATTTAAACCCACATTGTTGAGGGGCAAGTGATTTGATTTAGTCAACAACCTTAAACATTCGGCCGACAGAAGCCCAATTGGCTGTTTTAGTGAGTCTGTGTAGTTCTGTTGACCTTCTGTAATACTAATAATTGCTAACTATAAAAGGCTTGGTCTGTTATACTCACGACATCCGTTAGTAAACCTTATTATTATATTGAATCCTTACATCATTATTAATGTTGATAATAAATAATTATACTGTTAATATATATGAGCTGTGCCATGACAATACCAACATAATGGCTTTGCGACCAGCATGGATCCAGACCAGCCTGCGCATCCGCGCAGTCTGATCAGGATCCATGATGTTCGCTTACACACCCGGATGCGCAGGCTGGTCTGGATCCATGCTGGTCGCAAACCCATTATGTTGGTTTTGTCATGACACAGCTCAAATATACTTTTTTAAATTATCAGGTTTGTCAGAGAGAATTGGGACACCATTACAGCATAGAGTGCAGTCTCCTGTACCAGGTAACGTTATTTCATTCCTTTTGTGTGTCTAAAATGTATTATTGTTGTGTGTTGTTAGTATAATAAAAACACTTGTGTGCCAGTGCTTGCTTATACACAGTTTGATTTAAATTAACTTTTGCTGTGCTTAATGTGCTCTAGTTATAGTAGACGCCTTTTAATGTAGCTTTTTTTAAATATATCCCATAAACACGTAGAATGTACTTTCAATTATTTATTTTTCCAAAGTAGAATTTGTATAAGATTTCTAGATTTTTTATCCATGCATGATTTGATTATATTTTACTTTTATAATTTTTAATTGAAGGCCTATAATTAATTTTTTCGATGACTTATCTCCTTTTAATTCTTGCATGATTTAATTTTTAAATAATTATGAAAAAGAATGTATTAATTAAGTCAGCTTCTTGGCTTTATGCCATGGATTACTTAAATTATTGTACTTTTATTAAAGGAGAAATATTTTGGCTGTATAAATAATTTTGATATTCTGGAATTGTAATAATAAAAGTGCATTTTCTGCATTTTAAAGGAGAACTTAAATAAACGGAGACAAGTCATATTTATCATGCTGTAATTAGCTAGGCTTTTATTAATGTGCAGTTAAATCAGAAGCTTATAACATACTTATTTGCTGTTTTGTTTGCTTCGACTATGTTGCAATTAAGAAGTTAAACCAAACAGAAAAAATGCAGTGCTCACATTCAATGTCTACTTAATTGTAAAAGGATAATTTATTTATATTATGTGTTGTTTTTGTTTTCTAAATTATATAACCAGAATATGAGGGCTGGCCATAATAACTGAATTGTACCATGTATTCCCCCCCCCCCCCCAAATATATGCTTTTATTATATAAACTTAATAAAAGTATTATGATGAATTTATGCTCATTGAATTCATCTGAAGAAATACAATGAAAATATTTGGATCAATATTACTGTATTCCGCAATTTGTTATTGTATCACAAATGTATGGAAAAAATATTATTCTGGTTTTGCCAATTTTTTAATTACAAATTTTATTAAAGGTATGCAATAAAAGGAAAATAACCTGAGTGTGCTATTCTGGTTAATTATATCACCTTATTTGATTTCTGTCATTGGAACCCACGAGTACCGATTCCACAAACTATATTGAAATGAAGTGTATGTGTGACCAATACACCAGGAAAACCAAAAATAGTTGATTACAAAGAGAAGTTTGTATTCCTTAACTTGCTTTGCAGGCTAGTAAGAGACCATCAGTCTGCTTAGCTAAAAATTAAGGGAGGTGGGGGGAGAGCACTTTGATTTGTATCTAGGGGTTGCTGGTTCAATTCTTATGTGAGATGAAATATCTCGGTGACAATTTATCTTCAACATTTAGTCTATTGTTCATTTGTATCTCATTGCAGATTTAGAAATCATGTGGAATTAGTAGTCTAGGAAATTGTAGAGAAATTGGTAATTACTGGTATTTTATCCAGGAAAGCTGGACCGACTGTCGGGTCATGACCTAAAATGTTTTAAAATCGGTGAAACAACCAAACAAACATTAACAGACAGGCTTTTTAGAACAGAAATATGCACAATCAACTAGGGACTGATACATTAATTCATTATAATAGTATAATCATGCTGTAATATTTCTTAATTAAGTCAGGTATAATATACAAAAAGTTTTATGGTCAATTAACCCTCAATGCTTTTAACAACTGCTTGCTTATGGAGGGCGATCGTTGCCAAAATTCCAGACATGTAATGTGTTTCTTTTGAAAACTACTTTTGAAAATACGAACATGTATGTCTAGCATTTTTTATTGTATTCGTGCACAGCAAAAGATATGCCTCTTAATCCAATCTTTTAATTGAAGGCATCCGCTTTTAAATAACAAGTTTACATGTAACTCTTAACAACTGACGGAACATGGAGAACAACAACAAATTTACAAGTTCGTATCTTCCATTGCATATAATACATAACTTGTAGATATCTATCTGTACCTAAAATGAAATGTAAAACATGAATACAGAAAATATAATTTAATAAAACGTGTTTCCAGTCATAGAACTACAACAGTACGTTTACACAGTAACATGTTTAAAATGACAAAACTAGATTCACAAAGTTAAACGATTTTAAGTCATGCATGACGCCCGTCCCCTCCCCGAGTATTTACGATCTTATATGTACGGACAGGTATAATACCCGTCGCCTCTCTCCTATTTCTCAATAAGTGAAGGAAAACACGGCGTCCATTCTGACTTTTTTTAATTCTATAAAGAGTCAAATATTTTTGGTATCAAATGAAAGATTACACCATAAGCTTTCTACGAGTGCCTCGGAAATAAAAACGAAATAAATAGATGTATTGAAATTTTTGTTGCAAAATTTATCATTTTTCCTCTGAAAATAACACTCTCGAATTGGTAAGAAAAACACGGCGTTCCCTTTATTTCGTAATCAATTTTGATAATTTTGGATTGAAATAAAAGTGTGCTTCATGCGCTTTATGATATATGATTATATAATGCCTAAAAATAAAAATGAATTAAATCAAAATAAATTAACTTTTTGTTTAAAAGTTTATCATGTTACTTTCTGTAAAATAGAGAAAATAAGAATCCCTAAAGAACGCTCAAAACGACAAAATTGAGAATGTTGCAGGCTCGGTTTGATTGAGCCTGTTCATGGACGGTAATGGAAAGAGCAAGTTACCGTCCACGCCCCCTAGCACCAGCTTAAGCAAAATTCAACATGAACTGGTACATTTTTTAATTTTGAAACATCCGCAGATGTGTTAATATGGCGATTATCATGGAACCTTCATTGTGACACGTAAGTGCCATACCACGAAAAACGGCATATGGTCCCAAAGTAAACAAACAAAACACACTCTGAAATTCAGTAAGAGAAACATGGCGCCCCCAACTTACTTTTTTTTTCTTGGTCAATTTTGATAATTTTAGACTCAAGTAAAAGAATCCTTTATGAACTTTTAGGTGATGCCTTAAAAATGAAAATTAATTACGTAGAAGTATTAAAATTTTTGTTTCAAACTCATCGTTGTTTATTTTTTCTCTCTTAAAACCACACTCATATATTCGGAAAAAAAATCACGTCGCTTCCTTTAGATACTTTATTCAAAAAAGAAAATGAATATTGAATGAAAGTTAAGACCATAAGCTTTGAACAAGTATATTAAAAATCTGGAAACAAAGTGATCCCTCGGAAGCATTAATCACAACAAAATTACATAAGAATTGCAGACTCGGTTTGATTGAGTCTGTACATGAGGGATAATGAACAAGTGCAACATCCCTCACGCCCCCTAGCACCGGCTTGAGCGGTACTCAATTCTCAACACTTAATAGCGCTGGCATCAATGATCCCGAAAGACCAGAAAAATATAACAACACTGAAGTGAAGTACGGGGCAACTTTTTACAGCTGCCACACGGCACTTGACACAGTCCTGCTGTTGTGAAGTATAAAAATCTGGAAACAAATTAACATGAGGGATAATGAACAAGTGCAAACAGTTTTTATTCATACTGAAAGATTGTACATATGTGCTAAGAAAAAGTATTTTCTTGATTTCGAAAAGGAAATCTCGGTGGCCGCTTTAAAATCTTATTTTTGCAAATACTTGCATAGTTTTTGTTGAAAATGAAATTTGTGCCAATACATTTTTCAATGACACCAATAAAAATATTGGATGGTTTTAGATTATCAATAAAATTACTCCCTTGAAGTTGGTCATTGTTTCCCAAAAAAATATCCAAATCGCCGATGTTTCTCAGGAATATATGATAAACAAGATCAACAAGGAAAGGCGGCGCTCAATGAACGCAACCCCACATGACCCAGCAACAAGAACAAGTGGCAAGGAGCCCAGGCGGACTCCAAACAAAACACAGGACAGGGCACTAGGCAGAGCACGGTCAGGCTAATCACTAAAATGATAAATAATTTGTAACTGATAAGAACACGATGTTAAATAAAAAGTTAATGCATAAGCTATCTTCATCATTAATAGTAAAATCAGCAATTTTCAAGTGATGTTGCACCTGACAAAACTCTTGTAACAAATGTAACAAATATATGTTATGAAAAATGCCGTATGTTGTCCTTCAGTTTTATTTAGAAATATGGGAGAGGCGCCGTTTTATACCTGTCCGCAATAGAAATTCGTAAATACTCCGAGAGGGGCGGGGCGTTATGCTTGACTAAAAATCGTTTAACTTTGTGAATCTACTTTTGTCATTTTAAACATGTTACTCTGTTAACTTACTCTTGTAGTTCTACAACAGTTTCTGGTAACACGTTTTCTTAAACGCTATTTTCGGTATTTAATATTTACATTTCATTTGTATATTTCAGATCTATAAGTGTGCAAAATCATGCATATGTATTGCATGCAATGGAAGATACGAACTTGTAAATCTGATGTCGTTTTAGATGTTGTTACGATATATATGTAAACTTGTGATATAAAGGCGGGAACCTTCCATTAAAAGATTGAATTAAGAGGCATATTATGTGCTATGCACGGGTACAATAAAAATGGTAGGCATACAAGTTCGCATTTTCAAAAGTCATTTTTAAAAGGAACACTTTACATGTCTGGAATTTTGGCAACGAACGCCCTCCATACTTGCTTACTAAAATGTTTGTTTATGCTTGCTAATACTTTATGTTATTATTTATTTTGCTTGTTTTTTTAGCATATTGTGAAAGTTTTATGGTCAACCCTCAAAAGTTTGCTTTTTAAACTGCTTGCTTACTAAAATGTTTGCTTTGCTTTTTATTTTGCTTGCTTTTTTTTGCATATTTGTGTTTAACTACAGCCAGCACTAACCATGTGATGCACCATGTGACCCATAATAGAAACAAGGGATGTCAGCGTACTTATAAGAAAATACATCATAAAAGGAATAATAAAATTGTAGACCCTGAACTAGATTTAAAAAATGATGAACAAAACATTACGAAAGATTTGTTTGATGAAAACGACAGTAGTGCTTGTAGCACTGATAAATTGTATGTAAGGAAAGTATCAGTAGAAGAGATGTTTAAAACCCACACATTTGGAAGTTTAAAAGATGGGCATAATTGCAATAGCTATGCTGCAGGTAAAAGCTTACATTGAGAATGGTTGAAAACTGTAAGGTTTTGTTATAATATTTCTTTTTTAATTTTATCTTTGGCGTTAAGAAATTAAAGTTAATTTGCTGATTTAATTTCTGTCTTTATAATTGTTACGTATGCCTACATTTAGCTACCTCAGTAAACTAAAAATGCTACATCTGACAACTGTGTGTCAAGATGGATTCTTTGGTGTTCAGTGGTCTAGAGCATTGAATTTTAATATTTAGTTGTAAGATAGTGGTGGCCTCAACTCAAGTCACACTCAGACCTGGGTTGTTTTTTTTTTCAGAGGTGTTTTCATCTCTTTTTTTATTTGAAATAATGTGTAGATCAACAGTTGACATTTCGTTATGCCCCCAAAATTTAAGGACTAAGTGTACATTTGTCTCAGATACAGCATTAAAATGGATAATGAAGTATAATTCCATACCTTTAACAAACTGGAATTCTTAAAATTGCCATATAAAAGAAATTTAAAACTTTTAAAAAATGTTCATGAAATAAGGTGAATTAAGTAAATTTAGTAATTTGAAATATTTTAATACAGCTTTTATATTGCCTACACACATTACAAGGAAGGTAAATGAGTTTTATTATTTATATTTTCATCCTTTTACTTTTACATAATGTATTGTAGAGCTATCATAATAGTACAATTATAAGTCTTGCTTTTGATATACTTTTTCCTCCCAATATCTTTTAGTGTATATTTCATTGTGACAACAACTCATTTAACCAAAAACAATCAACGTTACATTATTGTGAAGGAGACAATTAAATTGTTTTATAAATAGTTTTTCTGAAACTATTTAGATTTAGTACAAAAATTGAAAATTGAAAATTCAAGTAACATTAATGAAATAATATTTTCCATATTTTCACTGTAAAAATTAATTTTACACTGCAGTGAAACATATTTTCTATAACTTGCGTTTTGTCGGACTAATATATTAATTATTTTTCTATAAAATTTAGCCAATACTCTAAATTAAACACTGAGGTCATTTGAATTGCAAAAGTATATAATAAACAGAAAATTCAAGTTTCTTTTAAATACAGGATCTATTTTCATCTCATGGTATAAAAACTATCATTTCCCATTCTAGAAAAAAATCTTGAATATCATCTATTTTTTTGAATGCATATTTAAATATTTGTGATAATGATGTTAAATGATTGTTTGTAGAGAAACCACCCCGTGCTGTGTCACCTCCGAAGAAGAGAGAGATTGTGAAGAAAGTAAAGAAACCCTTACAGCCTTCACCTATACCGATACCAGTAGATCCGAGGGTAGGATTGTAGTTTTTGTTTAGTTTAAACATATTTATTTCCCGAATATATACATATACAATAAATTATCAAAATTTCTGTTTATTAATTCTCAATACCACATTAAATGTCTAAAATGAACTTTATCAATCTTTCAATTTTGAACAAAAACATTTATTATTTTAAAGGGAAAATATTGTAATAAATGGTGATCGAATAGCAAACAGTGCAGACCATAAATTAGACAGCAAGACAATGGGCTAAGTTTAAACCTTCCTAAGGTCATAAATACTACTTTCTGCTGATAATATGATTTTGCATTTTTATTAAGAATGACATAGTTAGTTACGTACTGACAAATTATGCCTCACTGGAATCCTTATTTTTCAATTCTAAAGAAAATTGTTAAACATGTATTTGATAATGCTATAATAATTGACTAGGGTATATTAGATGTTTAACAACTGAGAAAAGTTGCGCTGAATGTGCAGTAATGTATTGTGAAGGTAGCGAACTGTAAAGTCTTCTAGTATTTTGACTCCCATATAAAATACTCATTCACTATGATCATACCCATTGCCATTTACAGTAACTGAGCAAAAGAAAGTAAAACATACTTCATCTATATGGCAAATGAGTATTTTTTTGAAAACTGTAACAAGATATCAAAAACAGAAAGATGAGTGGTGGCCTAGTGGTTAAGGTGTCTACCTCTCAACCCAGAGCTCATGGGTTCAAGCTTTACTCTGGTCATAACCATGTTTCTTCATATGACACCAGTACTGGTTGGTTCCAGGAAGGGGACTCGAAAGTGATTAATATATGTTGCAAGAAATTATTTCGCAATCCAGCTTAAATAAATATGTTTAAACCAAAAATAGAAAGTTTTTTAGAAATATAAAGTGATAGCCTTTTTGAGGCATAATGGGCCTTTAAAAATTGGTCCTGTTGTTACCTGTTCAATGCTTTATAGATTACATCACTGTTGTTTTACAGCCACCTATAAAGGAAAAGACACCAAGCCCTGAACCTATAGAAGAGAAACCTGTTTCAAGGGAGATAAGCTTTGATTTTGTGAAAGAAAAGTCAATACCAGAGTTACCTCCCATAGAAGTTCCTGAACTCCCAGAAATACCAGAATTGCAGGTATGTGATATTTTAAGATTCAAGCATCAAAATAATATTTAATCCTCACATGCATTATCATAAGTTAGATAAGTGCATACATAGTATCTTCATAAATTATTATTTTATATATTTTATTAAGTGTTTGACTCCCCTGCTTGGCACCAAATATCACAATGTGAAAAAAAAAAAAAAAAACATACAAAATTCAGACAGTGTGAGGAAATACCATTTTATAATAACTAAATAAACATTGTGGTGATGGTAGTGTTGGTAGTTTACTCTCTAGATCACGACAGTAAGGCACTTTGAATTTACCAGAGTCCTGTTCAGCCTTGCATCATTCCTAGGCTGCTGTCAAACAGTAATCAGTTTTGCATTAAGGATTGATGCTACTTCTGTACATGCTATAGCAGAGGAGCACTGTGATTGATCATTAAAGGATTTTATAATCATGAAGACACAAGGAAAGTAATGCTTGTCCATATAGTTTATTCTGGTGGTGAAGGTAAACACACAAGGAAAGTGACCTGCACTGCGGGGGAAAGTTGTTTCACCCAATTCACAGACCAATGCTCTACCTATTGAGCTATAAACTGCTGGTACCAACTGAATAACAAGCCATTTACATGAGAAATGTACAAATTCATGACATAATAAATAAAATTATTATAGTTATAGATATATTCTGTCAGTGTTTGAATGATTTATTTCCAGCTATATAATTGACAAGGACTCACTTAATTTAAGTTATTTCAGAGAAAATTTTGTTTGTATCTTGGATAATAATATAATTTTGATATGTTTTTTGTAGTCTGAATACAAGGGTGTAAAGAAGGAACGAAAATTAATAGAAGTCACCCCAGAGATACCTGAAGCTAAAAAGAAATTACCACCCCCACCAAAACTTGCACCAAGAATGTAAGTATCTGAGTTTAACAAACTATAGAATTTCAGTTTCATTTTATATCCCATTCTACTGTGGCAAAAAAAAGGTCTTTAAATCGTACAATCAAAATTTAGGCAATAAATATATGGTACGTATTATTATGATATGTTTTGACCAGCATAAAACACTTTATTCTATGTGATGGTTTTTGGTATAATTCTTCATTAGATATATCTATATATATATAGATGGACAGTTGCCTAAAATATTATTAGTTTTTATAATGGTCAGAATGACCAAAGAATGCTACAAAAAAGTAAGGATCAAAAACAAAATTAGCAAAATTAGTTTTTTATCCTGATGAAAGTCTTAGATGGCCAAGAATGGTTGATCCTTGAATAAACCAGTTATAAACCATCCTGATGCTCTCCACTTTCTGTTTTACTTTTTTCTTTAAAATTAATCAAAGTTAAAATTAATGTTTAATTGTTTGTGTTTTTTTTTAGTAAAACTCGGACATCCAGGAAGAGCAAGGTTGCGGAGGCACCTGTCACCACACAAGAACTACAACAGCTTTCTGATCCACTTGATTTCCTAGCTAAATACTGTATAATTAAGTATGACTTATTTAATATTTAATTACTTAATTGCTTTATTAAGTATTGTTACACGGATATCTTCTTTAAATTATTAGCTACACAAGTTGCTGACACTTAAGTTAATATTCAGGAGAGTATAGCCTGAAGCTGAGGGTTATATTTATGCCAACAAGGCTATATTTTCCTGTATAATCCATTAAGCAACCGTTAGGAATTCATAGTAACCATCATTGTTATTGATAACATTAGTTCAAAAGGAAACCTAGCAACTTGAAACTGTTTTCAAACAAGCCTGGCACATAAATAAGATGATAATTATGTCATACATTTAACGGCAACTCAAATGCTGTGCAATCAAAAAAGTAATTCAGATAATTATGTAAATTCATCATAATGGTGAAACTTTTTACTGTTTTTTGGAAGTAATGGCATTTGAATCAAGAAATATGTGGTAAGTAAGATAATGCAATAATAATAGTTTTATGCACACACTATATAGGTATAACCTGTCTTTGATGTAGAAATACATTGTTGTTTGTCCGTGCTTTGCATCTTCACAGTATAAACGGCATCATAAACAATGTGTTTAAGCCAATTAAACTTCAAAAATTTATTTGCATAATTATAATATATTTCATCTAAATTTAATTTAAACATATCAGTATTTCCCCAATATATAAATAGCAACATTATACAAGCTAAATACAGATAATAATGACTGAATATGATATTTAATTAAATTGTGATTATGTTACAGTGAATTCTTTTTTGTTTTTTTTCTTTGATTTAACTTGCATAATGAAGTATCAATCAGTATAAGTGTTAATCAGTATTTAGTCAGTGTTAGTGTTTTTTCTACCTTGTATTAAGTTAATTAAGTGAAGATGGTTTGAACTAAAAATCACTGGAATGAACACTGTGACACCATGATAATTTATTTTTCACAGCCCAGACAGATTACATACTATGAGGAGTGTTTAATGGTGCCGTGGATATACAGACTCCACGTTATACACGTGATCACATGGCTGCACGTGGCGGGATTGTACATCTTCCTCCTGCTCAATTGTCTCAGCACGAGCTTAATATGCTCAAAGACCTTACTGTGATAACTCATGCTCAAACCCCCAGGAGAGAGGTAAACTGACTTAAATAGGAAAATTTGTAATTATTGAGCTCTTTTAATAAAACTGAATTGTTTATTTAGTTAAAGTGTCTATAACTTAATAAATTATAATTTGATATCAACAACAGGTCAATTAAAAATAAAATAAACCCAAAAGAATAATTATGTTTGATATGATACAATTATTGACTAGTGAGCCATTGAATATGATGTGATATTCACCGGCAGATGCCATATTGAATAGGCTAAGAAATAAAAAAATAACAAAAAGTACAACCTTATATACACAATAAAGTCATACAGACTTTGCCTCGTTGAAGCGCGGGAAGAAAAGACACAGTGTACGGTGTGCAACAACTACGCAAACGCTGCGCATACAAAAACAATTCAAGTTTATACTCATCATTGCGGTGTAGCCTTTAAGTATAATAGTAAAGTAATGATATTTTAATCGAGAAATATGCAATAAAGAACAAAAAGCAACAATTATTTTTTAATTAACACACGTAATTAAACTAATTATGCAGGTGTATAACTGACAAAAGTACTGACTGGTGCTCAAACCAATTAATCAAACATTGTGTATTCTTTATTCTTAATTTGAGTCTCATCCATACATAACAACATAAAACAATTCAATGACATAATTTTACAAAGTAAAAGTTATTATGTACTGCCATTCATAAAATTTTAATCTAATGGAAGGGAGGCAACTCTGCAAAAAATGTCCAATGTCACTTACAGAGTTACCTCTCTTCTCATTGCATATTCATATGCATATTACAACTTAAAATTGCTAAAATAACAAACTATTGCTAATCTTGTTCTAAAATACTTATAGTGTTTCTGGTATTATTGCTTTACAGTAAAAACCCTTAAAATGTTCTCTTCCTTAAACCCGTAAAATTACACTGAATAACAATAGATTCTTAAACTATAAAATCATGTGAATAAAATTATTTCGCATCATTGGAAAGATAAAACCTATATGAGTAAAAATAAAACATTATTCAAATTTAAGTGACTGTACATATAATGTCTTCGCCTAAAAATAAAATAAAAAACGATCAGTTACTAATTATTAACTATGAGTATGTTTACCCTTTCAAGAGACCTCGAGAGTTTACAATTATCCTTGTCTAATGATTAAAAGTATTAAAATATTACTAACCATAAAATCAGGCTTATAAATACAGTCTGATTAGTACATGTGTATGTCTATAACAGTTACTGAGTGATTCCTTTTTTACTGATTACAGGGTGTTAGTGTACCTGAACAATATCTAGAGAAGTTAAATTACTCTATAGAGTTCATCAAGACAAAACAGGAGACTCTACAAGATCACATGCAAGAGCTTCAAAGTAAGTATACCCGTACATTATGCTGTGCTTTAAGAATGATAATAACCGATGTCTGCCACACCAGTAATATTCAGCTTGGCCTGACAATCCACCCCTTAGTCTGACCCAAGGCTTAATGCTGCAAAGATGGCTTCTTAACTGACATTATGAACACTTCCAGATTTTATACAAGATTATAACTCCATGAAAGGCCAAAGTTTAATTTCTTTCATACTCTGGAAATATGAACCTTTAAAACAGATAATTTGTGTTTAGCTTATTGTAGGTAAGTGTGGCTACAAGAACTCACAAGGAAACACTTATTTTATTAAGGTTTTATTTACCAGTTGGTCCAAAATGTTGCTGAGTTTCTACAATAAAATTGTAAAATAACATTTTAATCAAAATGATCAATATTTGTGATATTATTTCCATGAGTATATTCATTGGATTTATATCACTAGTACTGTATATCATTGTCATGGAGAACTGCAGATCACTATGCATGCCATGCAATATGTTTATACAGTTTCTTTCATTTAATTTATTAAATTGATGAATGTTGGTGGACAGGCTTAATGGTGGTCCACTGGGCATAAAAGATTTCTTTTATCACCTCCCTTCATGAATATCACAAGGGGTTATTTTCATAAGTGTAAAGTAGCTGGTACATTGTCAGGATTTTGTGATTGATATTTTTTTCAGTGAGTTACGACACCCTTTCTTATTTTGTTACTTTTGCCCAACTCCTGATTTTGTAACTATTTCTTTAAGTTTATTTCGTAATGAATTACATGTACATGTGATATTGTTTATGAATTATTTTCATATTAGATACTAATTGACTATTATATATGTCTATTTAAGATGAGAAGATTCACTTGATGGCCAGTATGGCAAAACAACTTGACCGAGATATTGTGAGATTAGACTATAAAACTAAAGGTGGTAAAAAGAAGAAAAAGGTAAACACTTCTCACAAATATATTTTCATCTTGGCACTTTGTCTCTATTATTTTTCTCTACAACTATAGTGCTTCAATTTGCTTTTATATTCAACCAAATTAGATATCACTTATTCAATAAATTGTGAAATTTGAAAAAAAGACTATAAATTTATGTATGTTCAAAGGAGATTGATAAAGTAAAATTATGAATTGATAGTTTTTATACTTGTAAAAACTCATAAAAATATGTGTTGAGTTTGCAAAACAACTGGCAATTATGGCAGCTATCTAAAGTAAAACTAAAAACAGTATTTTTTTTGTTTTTGTTTTTGCAGTTTTCATAAAACATGTGTGTTCGAATGAAAAACAGTATTTAAGGAAGCCACCCCTCTAGCTTATAATTTATCTTTTTATTACAATTTCCTCATTTTACTTAATCATCTTTTCTGTCAAATGATTTACCGTTTATTTATTATGAAAATAGAATTCTTGCATGCTTATTACATGTATTAGTGGGAATTTAAAAAAAAAACTGATATAAAAACTGTTTATAACATGTTTATATTAGGACGAAGATGACAACAATAGTCCAAAGGTAAATTCTGATTTGTAGGCATGCTTGATTAATAGTGTTATACCAGTAGTACAGTGACAGAAATCCAAGACAATTTTACCCCACCCACTTATCTAAATTCTTACTTCTGTGCAATATACAAATATGATAATTCTTAAGTTTATCTTATACATACAGAGTGAAATAAATGTTCGAAAGATTCTTGTTAGAAAAACTTTTCTCTTTAGTCATGGAAAAGATTTAAGATAATTTAAACATGGATAAAATTATAGCAAAGAAAATTTCCTTGAAAATCTTCATGAAGATTTCTAAAAAGATTGTAAAGAAAATCAATGCATTTCCCTAAAACGGGTTGAGTTAATTTTGTCTTGGTATTAATGAATTGCATGATTTCCTTAATTGGAAAAAGATATTCCATTTTCCTTGAAATCTGTCAGAAGAGTCCAATGTACGTTTAAAGTTATTAGAGATTTCCAGATCCTTAAACTCCATTAGCCAGAGTATTTCCAATAGGAGTGACTTGTGTGAAAACTATTTGTTTCCAGATCCTTCAACAGTAATAGGAGTGCCTTGTGTGAAAAAAGAATGATAGATTTTAACCAATTGTGTGGAAAAATTGAATTATTTTCCAGATTCTTTAATTCCAATAGGAATGACTTGTGTGAAAAAAAATTTTTTTTCCAGATCCTTTAACTCAAATAGGAATGACTAATGTGTGATAAAAAAATAGATTTTTTCCAGATCCAAATACATCAACATGAGTGCCTAATGACATCTGGTTTAGCATGTTATATGTTGTAAAATGCATTTTTGCAATGCATTTTTGCATTGCCCACCTCCCCCCCCCTCCCCCCCCCCCCCCCCCCCCCCCCAAAAAAAAAAAAAAAAAAAAAAAAAAAAAAAAAAAAAAAAAACTAAACAAAAACAACAACAAAAAACAGAAAAAAGCAACAACAAAGAAACAAGAGGATATTTCATTTACATGATTTAATGAAGAGTTTGAGAAAAGCATTTAAATATGACAGTATGTATTAATTTGACTTAATATTTCCCCATACTATTTCAGCTTATCACTCAGTAATCAAGAGTTATGGCCCCTGAATTTGTTCTGAGTATAACATCATTTTATTACTGATTTGCGTGGGGTTATATCAATCAGTAAATTTTCCACTTTCATTGCCAGCCTTAGCTAAAGCAGGCTGGCTTTGATGTCTTATATTTTTTCTCTTTATTAACTATATCCATTTATAAAAATATATATATTTTATATATAACTTATATGACTGCATGTGACCCTGCAACATTATCACAGCTACAAACATACAGATTCATAGAACAGATTTGCTACTTTAAACTATGCTAAATTGATTTGATTTTCAGCTAGCTAAGAATTTCAAAGTACAATGTACAATGTAACTAAACTGATAATGAAAGTGTCACAATTTAAATAAGTGTGTTTTGTGTGAAGCCATATTGACATGTTTTACTGCATTTTGCTTCTTAAACTTGAGAGTGTGTAAATAACAGTTTTATGTTAAAAAATAAACATTTCAGTTTCTTGCAAACATTATGATGTTGATTTATTGACACAGAAAGTTCTCATGGAAGATAGGTGGTAACATGTGTGAGAGCTAAACAATCAACTATATTTGCTAGTCTATTATGACTTTATAATCAGCACTTATTTATAGCACCTGGCAGCCAGAAGCTGTATGACCCTTAAGATATTTTATATGCATATTGAAAGCAAGGCAAGGACCAATAATACAAACTAGCAGGTCAAGGGTCAATGATAATCATGATTGAAGCTTTAAAATGTTTGACAAATATACATGTAGTTTGTTACTTGAAGTGCAGGTATTAGTTACACACACTTCAATTACCACACTGTCTGTCCCAGATAAAAATAGAGCATGTTTGTTGATTAAATTGGCTCATTTTGTCTAGGGATGACAGGAAATGGGATAAGGATAGAAAAGTCATAAAATTATTCAGATGCTTGTACTAGTTACTTTTTCTGGGATTTCATATTGTGATGACAGGGAATGTGTTCCTTATATTTGCCTATCATACAAAAAAAGAAGGAACATCAAAACATTCAGCAATCTGATTTATACTCAGGGGTTATTGCCCTGTTATACAAATTAGATAACCCCATGTTTCAATGCTCTTTCTATTATTACTTGGCTGGATATCTATAGCTATTGTTATAAATTACTTATTAGTCTTTTTTCTGGAGGTCTAATTGTACTGGTTTGTTCACAGGACTATTAGCTATTACTTGTTTCAGGTGAACACAATTCATGTTCCTTTGATTTTTACCAAGTATTTCTTCAGTCAGTCAGTTTGCAAAATGATTAATATTTAATGTAATGAACATTAACTGTTATATACACATCTTTTTATGGAATTTGTTTATAGAAAAAGAAGAAGAAGAAATCTGAGGAACCGGACTATGAGACAATGGGGGCAATGGGTGTCCCGAAGAATTTTATGCCGCAGCGAGCGTCGGACATTACTGATGAGGTGATAGTTAGTAGGATGGATGATAAGATGTTGAAAAAGGTAAATAATTGGCATTTTTTAAAAAATAATTTTGTTATCAATATTTAAAATACTTACGGAAATATGTGCTCATTGTAGACCAATCCACTTTAAGCTGAATTAGCTATATATTTTAAAGATTTTTCTATAAATTACAAGGGATTATTGTTCAATTACTTTTGAAGTCAAACATAAAATTGAAAACAATTACCAAAAAGTGCAAGAAACTTTACACTCATTGCTCAGTACTGATTGATTTCAGGAAGGGATTTGAAAGTCTGTCACTATATATAATATGCGAATAGCTCAGGGCTTCCATTAATTGAAGTTTGGGAGTCATTTACTCCTTGATTTTGGCTTGTGACTTCCAAAATTTAATACTTTTCCTTTTACCTATATAATGTGACTTCCAATATCAGAGATTTTGCGGTCTCTGACTTCCAAATTTTGGAACTTAATGGAAGTCCTGATAGCGTCCTACACAATTAAGTCATAACCCAAAGTTTTTATAGAAGTTGTTTGTTTATTAAAGGTAAAGAAGGATCCAACTGTAAAAAATCTACAGATACAGATAAGCAGAGATATTGAGAAATTAAAACATTTTGATGAGCGCGTTGCCCAGATAGAAGGTTAGAAAATATTCTGCATGAAATACATACATTGTGTTGTATACTGGATATGAACATGACTTTGTATAGTTTAAAGCTTTACTGAATTGGAGTTAAACCAAAATGATGTAAACATGACATTTTGTGCTCGACATATCTGGCAATATTTTTTATTGTACATAATTATCTTAGAGATAATTATTTATGTTAGTAGATAATTATGTGCTTATGTCATTTATTACATCTTTAAATGACGATTCAACAAAATTGTCATATATAATTGGCTGGGTAAAACAGTAAAATAACATCTTGTAAGACTGATTTAATGCATATTAAAAGATTTGAACAATTAATTATTTCATAAATAGAAATTATTATTGTGATTAATATTATACATAAATAACATATAATAATAATATTATCTGATTTTTTCAGATGAGAAAGATCTCGTAGGTTTGTACTGTATGGATTATTATTTCAATGAGCAAGATGAATCGATGCCGCCCTACGCCTTCCGTCGCCAACAGAGTCGCCTGTATCAGAAACTTCATCCAGATCCTGTAAGTATAAACCCTATAAAACTGTCATATAAATTCATAGCTATTTCAATAAGATATGTAGAAAGAAGTACACTATTGTTTTATTGAAATTTTGTAGAATATTGAGGCTGTCCTAATCACCCTTTTATCAGTATAACACTAAGTCTTGGTCAAGGTTTCGAAAACTTCTTAGTTGACATGAACTTGAAACTTCAGATATGTATTTTCAACTTTTTTGAGATGGTTGTTATGTATATCTATGTTTGAAAATTTTGGAAATAAATACTGTTAAAACTAACTTTTTTGAGATCATTGCCTTTAACCCAAATTAATCATATTTATTTTAGAACTAAATAGAAAGTTCCTCAGGTAATCCTGTTTTATGTATCCAAAAGTGATTTTTAGAACTTTCAGATTTGTCTTCCGGTCAAGAACCATAATCTTTTTATGAACCATGCATAGTTTAAGTATGGAGAGCCAAGAATTATAAATCACGCTTTCTATCAATGTTAATCAAACAGCACTGATTAATGTTAAATGTAAAACAAATTCTTGCAATTTATATTTATCACTTTCAATTCGCTTGCTAAATGAACTAACTAGTACTGTTGTCATAGGAAGATGCCATGATCCCTGGGTTTAGAGGCCAGGCACCTTAGCCACTAGGCCACTCCCCATAATAATAATTGTAATATTATTTTAGGATGTTGAAATGAATACAGAGGAAGTAGAGGCAGCCCTCCAGCAGATTAACAACAAACTACTGTCAGAGAAAGAATTCCAGTATATATACTTTGTAAGTTTCTCTTCTCAAAAGCTTCATTTTGTGTAATATTTTGGAGAATTTGGAGTTTCCAGGGTTTTCATTTTAAGTCACATCAACACTAAGAAAGCTTGTTAGCGTTTTGTTGTTATTAAGGACACAAGCATGGATAATCGTCACTAGTCTCCTGACTGTTTAAATAGTTAGTTCTTTTCTAACTATAATCCTGCTCTAAGAAAAGTGAAGCATGGGCTGTCCATGAACAGGATTACTCCATTATAATCAAATTTGTTTATTCTTAGGAATGAAAAAAATAAAAATACACCCATCAAGTTCACTTGATTTTTATAATTATTACTCATACTGTATAAGTGGATATTTCCACATGTTAAAAAGTTAGCAAATTTAAAATTCCAGATATTTCACACAATGAAATTTAAGTGAATCATGCAAGGGTAGAATTTAATGACAGATTGGTTTATTATTTACTCTAGAGGAAATTTTAGCAATTTTCGTCAATTCCCAAAATTCGCCAATATTTCCACATTGCTTAGAGTTAACCACTTACACAGTATATCAACACCTTAGTGCAGTAATGGCCGGTTAACTCCTATTAAATTTCAAAAGGAGTTAACCCAATTTAATGCACTAACGTGTTGACAATATCAGGTTTTTTGAGATATCAATCATAATACAGTGCTTTATGCACTGTAAAAAAATTGTAATTGTTGATATTGTTGCTATATCTGTTTACAGATACTTGACTTACCTAAGAGGGAAAAGATTAACTTCCGCTTGTTTAGCATCATTGCTGCATTATCAGAGAAAGTCACTCAGATGGAGTAAGAAAAAATCTAAATATATTTTTAGTTATTAGTATTCAAGTGGTTTACTTTATAAATCATTGTTTAAGCTTTGTAAAGAAAACTTGAAACCAGTTTTGAGTCTGCTTTCTGGAACTAACAACAACATTAGTTGGGACAGTCCATTTCTATCTTGATTTTTTCCACACAGTGCATTGGTTAAGAGGCAGGCATTATTATAAGCCACAGCTACAGGCCAGTTCTAAAGTGATATCTTAATACAAATGTACATATTTAATAATTTTCTTTGTTTACAAAAAACATTGTTAATTTATAGGAATTATACAGTTTTTGTATAATATAATACATCTTCCATCTTAAGCTTGGAAGATGTGTAAGTCTTACCATCTTTTATAGATTCATTGTAAATGATATATTTTCTTAATGGTAGAGTGATGCTTTTTTTAATCTAAAATCCAGTTTCATTGATTCATAATTTTATTGATTGTTTTTAATGGTTAATATTAATATTTATTATTTACAGTCCAGTTATCAGGAAGTTAATCAATAAAGTGGACTATAACGCCCTGGATGTCAAGATGGAAAAAAGCAAGGTATAGCTTATAATTATAATAAAACCACAAAACTGTGAGTGAACAGGTTCCATATTTTTACCAGTACAAAATTATTTTTTTTAGAATTATCTGCCCTTCTGTAATGGTGGCATATTTTTGATAGTAAACATGTATATCAAATTTAAAGTGGATACTTTTAATAGTTTCTGAGAAAATGGATGTTACAGTAAAATGGTTTAGCAATGCTAAAAATCTGACTTAAAAAAGTGGCATAACTTTGCATACAGTAATATATGTGTTTATTCATATTTGCATAATGTATTAAAAACCTAGTCCATTTTTTATGGACTTCAGGATTAAGCAGTTTTTTTTTCTCTTCTTTGCTTTTATAAAAATCTTGCATCCAACACACTTCTCACTATTTTCAAATAAGTGTATTATTACACGATATATGCACAGCATAAAAAAAATGCTTACCCAGCATATGACTTTATATGTGATATCAATTATAAACAATATGACATCAGGAAAAGTACTTCTACTGGTTCAACATATTTTTTATCAATTCTCTATTTTATTAATATGTTAGAATTGAAATAGAGGTTAATTTTTCTTGCATTACAATATTATGGATGCTTTATTGAACATTTGCAATGAATGTTTTATGGTAAAGGATTGTATTAAGTACATTTGTTTTTTGTTACAGGAATTGTTTGAACTATTACAAGATGAGACAGTGTTACCTATAGGCAATGCTCCGGCAGAGACATTAGCTGTAGAACTGACAGCTGGTGGTCTTACACCGGAACATACCAGTTATGTAAGTATTGTTTAAAGATGCATGCATCCAGATATGCCAAACTATTTCATTAAAATCAAACTTGAGAAAAAAGTAACCATACTACTGAACCTCAAATCATTTGCTGGAACCATCACTAAACTAAATTACCAATATATCAAATTGCTGTGGAACACTTTTTACTTTTTAGCTCGACTATACGAAGTATATGGAGAGCTGTCCTACTCGCCCCGGCGTCGGCGTCCGCGTCCAGATTTCAGATTAAAGTTTTGGTGCAGTAAAATATTTTTCACTATAACTTTGTTATTTCTTAAGGTATCAACTTCAAACTTCAAATATATGTTCCTTATCATCAACCACATCTTATGTGACAAGGTTCATAACTCTAGCACCAATATTTTCAGATTTATCTCCCCTTGGACTTAGAATTTTCCTTAAAAAATACTATTTTTTACTGTAACTTCTTTATTTCTTAAGGGATCACCCTCATACTTCAAATAAATGTACCTTATCATCATCCCCATCTTATGTGACAAGGTTCATAACTCTAGCACCAATATTTTTAAGAGTAATCTCCCCTTGAACTTAGAATTTTCCTTAAAAAATATTATTTTTTACTGTTACTTCTTTATTTCTTAAGGGATCACACTCATACTTCAAATATATGTACCTTATCATCATCTCCATCTTATGTGACAAGGTTCGTAACTCTAGCACAAAAAATTTCAGATTTTTCTCCCCTTGAACTTAGAATTTTCCTTAAAAAATATTATTTTATACTGTAACTTATTTTTTTCTTAAGGGATCAACTTCATACTTCAAATATATGTACCTTACCATCATCCACATCTTATGTGACAAGGTTCATAACTCTAGCACCAATATTGCAAGAATTATCTCCCCATAAACTTAGATTTTTTTACTAGAAAAATGTTATTTTTTACTATAACTTTTTTAGTTTTAAAGGTATCTACTTCAAACTTCAAATACTTATTCCTTATCATCAATTACATTTTATGTGACAATGTTCATAACTCTTGAAGCAATTTTCACAGATTTATCTCTCTTTGAACTTAGGATTTTCTTTAAGAAATATTATAACTTCTTTACTTTTTAAGGTATCTACTTCAAACTTCAAATATATATTTCTTATCATAACACACATGTTGTGTGACAAGGTTCATAACTCTAGCGTGACTATTTCTAGAATTATTTCCCTTGATCTTGGAATTTATGTTAACAAATGTTATTTTTTTACTATAACTTAATACATAATAATACATAATTGATTTTTCTTTCATAGTTTTGTCCTCCTTACTACGTCCAGTATTTTATTAGTCGAGCTTGGCTGTCTCCTGTGACAGCTCTTGTTTACTTCAATTACAATTACATGAATTATAGCTTTTGTGGTGGTGGCATGGCATTGTTATTGTGTTGGACCAGTAATCTAAAGATTGCTGTTCGCCTAGGTTCAAACCCCATTAGGTGCGAGTTATTGTTTCCTTGTGCAAGATATTTTGCACTCATTGCTCAGTAACTGTTTGGTTCCAGGAATGGATTCAAAAATGTGTCTATATAAGCCTAAAGCTTTCTATACAATCAAACTAAAAAACATTCTCAACCAATATAAGTTCAAGATAAAATAGTAAAACACTTCAACAACACAATGACAGGTTTACAATATTTAAAATAAATTATGTTTTTAAACCAATTATAGCTTTGTACTATTTCATTGTCAAGGATTTTATTTAATTGTCAAGGATTTAATATTTTTCATATTTCATCACTATATAATCATGTTTGTATTTTCAGGTTTTGAGTAAATTCAACAGAGAGGGAAGAGGTTTCGTAGATTTTCTCGACTTTGTGACATATGTTCCATTGTTTATAGATATACACAAAAGGATTATACAAGACCCCTTCAATGACAGTCTGGATGTGTAGAATAATGTGTAATAGCTGTTATCCGGAACTCAGCAAATGTGGGTTTTTCCCAGCTAATCTGTCGGTACAAACAGACTTTTATTGTTAAGCTCCAGTATGTTACTCTACCTGTTAATTAATATATTAGTCAACCTGTTGCACTTTTTTTCGAAGCTGTAACTTTAAAAGTTCGTTTGTATGACCATTAGCTGGGTAAAACCAAAGATATTCTTAATTGCGGAGTATGTCTATTGTAACAAGATACGTGTGATTTTAAATTATTTTGTTTTTTTTAGTAACATGCTGGTGAGTTTATGCAATATAGTGTGATACATAATATTATGAAATGTTTTCTTTTTGACAAGTATCTTCAGTTTTAAATCGATGTTGAAAACAGTATATTTTTCAAAAGCCAAAATCAGTACTGGGCCAGCTGTTCAGGCTTACTCTCTTATATATGTGCCGTTCTTTCTTTCTGCAATGGTAATCTGTATATTTTAATTTGCTGTACTATGCCAGAGTTTTAATTTTCAGTTCTATATATTTATTGTATATATATTATAAATATATAACATATTCATAATTCAATCTTATAGCTAAATATGACTTTTAAAGTGTTTGATGGCAAATTCTTACCACTATACACTAATTTGACATTATTGAGCCGTAGTCATGACAAAACCAACGTAAGTGTTAGCAACTCAGCATGGATCCAGACCAGCGCTGCGGCCATCCGGGCAGGTCTGATCAGGATCCATGCTGTTCGCTATCAGTTTCTCTACTTATAATAGGGTTTGTAAGCGAACAGCATGGATCCTGATCAGACTGCGCGGATGTGCAGGCTGGTCTGGATCCATGCTGGTCGCAAACACATTACATTGGTTTTGTTGTGACACGGCTCATTTAATTTAAAAAATATTACAAATTCATGCATACTGTACTCAAAGTTGTTTCTAAATTGTTTGTTTGGTTTTTTTGTTGTTGTTTTTTTCCCATATTTTAAGAGGTTGATTATTTATTGCAGCGGTTGCTAAGTAACTAGTGATATTGTTAAAGAAGTTGTTATTTTATTCAAGAGACTGGTATATATATATATATGATGACTTCAGCATTATGGTCTAATTATGTTATAAAAAATCATAATTATAAATTGGAATCTTACTATTTTAATGTATGTTGAACTGACACTTAAAACAGAAAGACATGCTAAAGGAATAATAAGAGGACATACTTATAATAAGATAATAAAATCGGTAATTTTTTGTGCTTTTTTTAATGAAAAATTTCAATCATTTTTAAATCAATTTAGAATATTATCCCGTACCGTTATATAATTATATGATAGCAGGATTCCACCTAATATAAGCAGGAAAACGCTTAAAATTTCCGTGTATATAAGATTTTCCTGCTTATTTAAGACGGACATGGAATTTTGTAAAAAAATCCTGCTAAGCAATTTCATATTCCACCTAAGGCTTAGGCGGAAAATATGGGATGAGCAATAATTTAGACGGGTTTTAGGACTTAGAATTTTGTCAGTTATTTGTTAACAGGAATTATGTACTTAGACTTTTTTGTTAACCAGAAATTGAACTTAGAAAATTTTACTAGACGGATTTCTGAATTTGGAGAAATTTCTGCAGATGGCAAGTATATAATAAATCGATTATTAGGTGATCAACAATTATTTTGCTGCTTTTATTCATTGTTAATTTTCAAAACTAAAATATTGTTTGTACAAACATAAACATACATAATCATTAATTGATAAAAAAAACTCCACAACAAAACTAAAACTTAGAACATATTATATAATGATGTTGTGATGACTTTTGCATAGAATATATTTCACTGTGTTAAATTTGGGTATGAACTAAACTCATATATTAAGCTTTTTAATGTAATATAATTAAATGAGTAATATCCCTGAAAATTTCTTATCAACAGGATATAATAAATAAATACTGCCTCTAGTAACCACTCTTAACTATGATGTAACACCACAGACCTGATAACACACAGGTCAGATCGTAAATTCTGCTACAGTCCAGACTGTTCCATGTGATTTATTTGGGGGGAAGCAACAGTTACTTTGTACATTTTATATGATGAGTCTGTTAAGAAGGACTTTGCAAAGTTTTTTTTAAAGATATTTATTATGAATTTTGGATTCTTTTTCCATTTATTTTCTGGTATTTTTATATAATTGTGAAAATAAAATGATGGGTTGGATTATCCCTGTTTACCATCATTATCATGGACTTGTCCATAATTTGAAATCTAGGAAATATGGGTCAGCAGAAGCTTAGACAGTGGAAATAAAGCAAATAACAAAGGATTTTATTGATAGTTAAAAATTGTGGTGATAATATATAAGCAATTTTTGAGATAATATTTTGTTTAAAGTGTAAGGATTAAATATTTTTGAATTTTTCAAAGAAAAAAAAATTAGACTTAGCCTTGTGAATGAAAATGACAATAATCTGGATATGCTCAGTTGTAAATGAATTTTGAATGCTACATTATGATCTTGGATAAGAAGATAAATACCAATATCATAAAAATTCAGGTAAGTAACTTTTGGATACATTTAAACAATAAAAATATATTTCAAATAAATTAAATAATTTTGCGTTAAGTTTGAGAGTAAATTTGTAACACTAAGTTTGGTTGTAATGAATTATAGTTTAAATGCATGTATATTTATAACTGCATACAATGACAAGAAACAATAATATAAGATATTAGTGGTGGCAGTGTTTTACTTATGACTGTTTGTGTTTCAGGATATGTCTCAAGCTGGTGTAAAAAGAATGGGAGGGGAGGAGTCACGGACAAGGATATTAACGATACCATAAGTTAAAGCAGATCAGTTATGCTTGGAATAAAAATGAAAACAACTGGCTGAACAAAAAACATTAACAGTGAAATAAAATGAAATAATTTGCCATGGATTAAAACAATACAATAGCAGTGCAATAAAAAATATAACTCGTGTTTCTTTTTTTTGTGTCTGACTCTTTTACGTACTGTACATGCACCCTAATGTAGAAAACATTATGGTAAAGCTCACAATAATAACTTAAAAGCTTTGTAATTGTGATCACCTATTGTCTGTCTGCAATTTTGGATTCCAATCATTCTTATGCAGCTAAAAAATAATGTTGTATCCATCCATAATTCAGCTTTATTAGTGTACTATCACAAAATTGAATAACTTCATTTCCTTAGGCGGATTTTTTGCTAGTATTCCTTAGGAAGAATTTTCTCCTGCTAGTGATTTTCTAAGTAGGTATTTTTTTCCTGGTTAAAATATTTTAGGCGGAATTTTTTCCGGCTAAGAATTTTCCTAAGGCGGAATTTTCTCCTGCTAGTGCTTTCTTTAAGCTGAATATTTTCCTGGTTAAATTTTCTAAGGAGGATTTTTTTCCTGCTACCCTAACTGTTTTCCTCCTAAGAAAATTTGCATATTTCGCAGCGTATTCCTGCTTATAGGAGGAATCTGTGATATGTAAACCTGAAATGCCTTAGACGGATTACGCCTAGTAGCTAGGCGGAATTTCTGCTTTTTTCAGGGCGGAAGTTTTCGTACGGGTAATGTGAAAAAGGAAAATTTATAACATAAAACACTTTTGCTTTCAAAACGTTTTCGGTTACAATTAAAACAAAAATTTACCATTAAATCTTTTATTATAAATTGATCACTGGCTCATTATGTATAATTTTCAAAAAGAAAGTATGCAAATTACATAGATATCTAAAAAAGCTTACCGGACCAGACATGCTCTTGACTGAGCCCAAACACCCTTTCCCTCCGGTCAATCCAAATAAATTGCTGAGAATCAGCTTCATCACATGGACAGGGGGGGAATGATATGGCTCCCCTATTCATCTCATAAATGGTTATTGTTGCCTTCAAGGCACCAGCAATCAACATGTACGTAATTGGACCTGTAAATAAATTCAAAAATCAATATTCACATTTTTATCGGTTCAAGATTACAACTACTCAATATATAAACTCATACAGCTGTGATTTTAATCATAAATAATTATCATATCACTGGATAAATACCATGTAAATAATTGGATACAGATAGACAATGGCTTTAAGTCAAAAAAGTATGCTAATAATCATAATGCAAAGATAAGGAATTTCAAAAAGCTTAATTATCAAAATATATATTGTGGAAATGCTAAATTACCCCTCATCATGTCTGTCAATACTGAAAGAGCTTCCTCTGTAAAAAAGTCTTTAATGGTTGGTGCCGAACTTTCGAATCTCTTCATTGCCAGTTTTATTTCATACAAGGACGAATCCATTTCTTCATACTAAAAAAGTAAGGAAGAATGTAAATTAAAAAGGAAATAATTTAAACTTGGCAAGATTTCAGAGTTTGAGAGATAAAAGAAACATTTTAAGGAATGAAAACGGTTTCTTTTGGAATAAAATGCCCCATAATTAATGCACTTTATCAAGGTCCAAAACAGTTTTGTTTCGACCGAGGTTAATATGAAATTCTCTGCTCTTCCAACAACGTAAAAAGTTAAGTCATTAGCTCTATAACGAAATTTCTTTTCTCTACTTACTTGCGCCACATAATGGTCTATATGTTCAGTTGCAAATAGAAACACGTGTAGTCTGGCCAGGCTTGGAAACTCATGTAGCACTTCCCATATGTTGCTATACTCTTTCCCAGGGACCATATCACTAGGTCCCCTGTACCTTCTAAAAAGAAGACGTGGAGAACTATAATATTTCATTTATACTGACTGTATCTTGGATATTAAAGATAGAAAAACGTGGATTTGTTACATCCAATATCGTCCATAAACAGGCACAATGAAACCAAGCTTACAAAATTTTTCATTGTCGCCGAACTTGTTTTTTAACTACCTCGTTTTTTATATATATTTATATTTCCTATTGTCAATATCTTTTATACAAAAGTGTAAACTTGTGTTACTAGTATATCTTGTTCGAAAGAAATTTGATAATGTCAAGTTTTAAATTACATTTGAAACATTGTCAATTCTGCATCTGATTTTAACTACACCTATACATCTATACATGTACCTTTTTGCAAATCTGTCAGGCATGGAATCTATTTGAATTGGCTTTGAACGCTGCAGATAAGCTGCAATGTGTTCAATTTCGTGCTCCAATGGCCAATTTTTCACAATGTATGATATGCATCCATCAATATCATTCTGGAAACAAATCAATTAAGTATAAATGTTGAGTTAAATGCACATTTGGTTTCAGAAACAATACATTTTATGGTAGATTTGCAAACATATGCTTTATAAAATGTAAGATGCAATTGCTTATAACATGTTGAAAGTAGCTGCATGTGTATAAATTTGCAGCAAGTAAAAGAAGGTGACTTGACCTTCATGCAAAAGACTTCATAAAAAAGCTCTGCTTAATGAAAGTGCTTATGAATAACTTTATGGAAATTGGAACATGACAAACAAGGAGTATAAAATGTCAGAACATCTAGACTTAATGAACTATAAAGATTACAAGATCAATTAACAATAATAAACATATTAACGTCTAAAAGATTAATTTCATAAATGATCTATCAATAAGGATAACTGGCGTTATTGTATTTTATTACATGTTTTGCAGTAGATTACTGAATTATAACGGTTAATTATATTCTGATAATTTCACAGTAATGATTACCAAATATAATTTCACAGTAGCCGAACTATATTTGGCGTAAAAATAAAATATTTATCATTAATGAATGTTTTTTTTCAGCGGAAATGTAGTCAATCATAATAAAAAATGTAAGTGATAACTGTAGTTCGTAAATATTTACGAACGTTGTGCTGAAAAACATCTAAAATCTAAAAATAATCATGGAATTATATTTTGCTTCAACATTGTGACGTCATTATTTGATGACGTCATGAAGATAAGAGCATGACGTTACGCGGCAAAAATCAGTAAAATGGTGTAAAAATCGTTAAAAAATCATGAAATAAACAGAAAATTTGTTTGTTTAACATGTGAGATCAAATAATATTTCACTCGTGAACCCCAGCTATTATATTTTCACTCGTGGCTACGCCACTCGTGGAAAATATTGCATCTGGTGTTCACTCGGTGAAATATTTTTCGATCTTACACTGAAACAAACAAATATCCTCTATATAACACATTAGTCTGATTACTAATGTGATGCAGCATAATCTTCAGTCATTTAACATTATCTTAAATATTTTACCTTATTTAATAGCTGTTGGATTGTGGACCCCGAACCTGTTTCTTCAAGTCTGATTTCACTCAACTTCAATTAAAATTGAAATAAAAAAGATGCTTTTATTCATATTTCACCTGCAGTAATGTTACATGACATGACTAAGTGCTTGTTCTTTTATAGAATATTTTGTGGCATTTCCTTCAAAAAGACAGTGTATTATGAAATCTTATAGATATTTTACAGACAATAGATGGCTGTTTGGAAATGTAAAGAGGGTTTCTATTGCATGTGTACCCGTTAATATAAAGCCATACATTATAGTCAATCAAAAATCAATCATAACAAATTGTAGTATAGCAAACTTTCTTTCTGTGGAAAAAAGAATGGTTTTGTTATAAAATTATAATATTGATACTAACCGTTAATATAGAACTTTATATACTATTGTAAAAACTATTGCATTTCTTAGCCCTAGACCTGATTTCCGGATTTTTATAAGGTCCTTTCGCAAATTGTCAATTAGCAATATTTTATGTATGAAAGCGAAATATATTTATTTTAACCATAACAATAATTTTCACTAGTAAAACATGTATAAAGTAGCCAGTCTTCTAATACAATCATTGTATACGACAAGACATGCAGTAGTGAAAATATATCAGCAGTAATTCCCAATAAATGCAGCATCAGTGCTAGTTCTATTTGTTTTTATTTACTTAAAGTACTATTACCTCGGTCACTAATTAAACAAGAAAATTAGTGAATTTGTTAATTCTGGCAGTTTATAAAAACTGATTCCTACTGATTTAAAAAAATTCATTGCCATTACTGACTTTAATTATGACTGTTATGGTAATTATTTAAAAATTAAATAGGCAGTTTCTTGTATAGTTCTCTTCAATTGTTTTAAACTCAAATCGGTTCGAAATGTAATACAAATCTTGGTAGCAGATTTCCATGACCGGTGCTAACATATAAATGTTAGAGAAATTCAATATCTGTCAGGAAAAAATTAATCATCTTTCATTTACCTCTTCATGTTTTAACTCGTCTATGTTTATATCTACTTCTCCAATATCTTGCCCCACTCCCTTCACTTTCCTATCTGTTCCTATACTTTGCCACTGTGTTACAACAATTAAAATTCAGGTATAAAATTTAAACTTTTGATTACATACATGGAATTGGAACAAAATGCGCGATGGTGAATACAATACATGCACAACGTATTTTAGAGTTGACCGCAAAATAATATAACCTTTAGAACTAATGAAAGTGTAAATAGTAAAACTGGCAGTGAGTCTTTAATCAATACCAGTATTTTTTCTTGTAATAAATTCAGTGTCAACAACAGTTACTTTATTTATTATCAAATCAAACTCAGATAGAAATGTAATACCCTTGCCAAGAATGTACATCTTATACAAATCTAAATGGTATATATATGTGAGGATGTAAGTATGAACCATAAAATCCATTATTGTTATCTCTGGTAAATGTAATTAGACTAAGGAAGATTCTTCAACGAAAATCTCTTAAATTCACCTCGTTATGATAAATCAAATCTGCCATTTCTTCATCTTCTTTTTCATCATTATGCTGGGCCTCCTCCATCACAACATCATCTACACTAAAACTTTGCAACTGCATTATTACAAAGAAAAAAGAATGCCGGTTATTGCAAAAAATATTCTATGTTAATTCATCCAAAAATGTTAACGTAATGGGCGAATTGCGCTTCCCGGATTATGTGACTGTGAACGTTAAGTATGACAGCAACATAACTTTATTCCAACACAACAGGAAAACTCGTGTCACTGGTAAAATTGAAGTCAATCTTTTATTTACAGGTTATCACTGTACAGGTTCCGACCAGATAATTATGCAGTAGTTGTAATGTACCAGTACTTGTCAACATATACAGCATTAGTGCCAGTTCAAGATTGTTTAAAGTAATTTGACACTAGTACTTTTGTTTTGTCAGTTAAGCAGGTCTATTGAATAGTTGATTTCAATTGTTTTCAAGTCAAAATCACTTCTTAAAGTAATTCAAATACTAGTGAAGGTTATGCGTAACTAATACTGGTAATAACATAAATGTATGGCAAGTAAATGAACTTTAAAGTCCTTACTTTTATGCCTATGGAATAAGGGATTAAATGTCTAACAGGAAAAAATAATAATGTATTTTGATCATTTCCTTGATTTACCTCTTCGTGATTAAACTGTCTCTTCTGATGCTTCCCCTTTTCCAATCCAGCTAACTTTTGCAACTGTAACAGAATGTATGCCGATAAGCTATGAAATATTTAAAATGATTCTTAACATGATAAAAACTACAAGAATATCCTGATCATTGTTATCTTGTTAAACAAATTTATGGAAACATTGCGTTTTTTTAAATAAAGAATCAGTGATCTCATTTATTTTATTTAGGTGCCACTTAATATGTATTGAACAACTTAACATAAAGTGTAAATAAAAATATCAATACAACTGTATTAGGATATCAATCTAAATTTTGAATAAAAATGGCCGACTTTGTGATAACACAAAACTCCCCAAAAAGGATATCACGTTAAATAATTTTAGTTAATAAGAATAATTTGAATTTTCAGTCATATCAATAATAACAACCCTAAAACCAAATAAACTTTATAAAAAAACATGAACATGAATAAGGGCTTGGTCGGGTAATTAATATGATCGGGACGATCAAGTTGATCTGATCGGCGGTGAGAACATCGCATTAAAAGTGATCAGTCCGTATCCAAAAAAATGCTGATTTTCTCAGGATATCTAAGATATCAGACACCCTGCTCTTTCACCATATGCAATAATCTCCCTGCATGAAATCTTTTACTCGGGCTTTGAGTGCACTCTGGTCTTTATGAAACATAAAAGGCTATTCATGTTTTGATCATCTATAAATATGTTTCCTATGGCTTTTAATTTGTGGTTTTGAAGAGAAAAAAACAACAATAACTAAAGTGCAATAAAATGTACAAAATAAACAAAACAAAGTGATTAAAACAAGAATAACCTCTTCCATAGTTGTTGTGGATACATAATTTATAGGCTGATAGCCTTCTTGAATTTTCTGTAAAAATAGTTTTGCATGTACATTTTACTTACAAGGTCATTTCAGAGCATCCAGAAATTAAAATTATGCATAGATATACAAGAAATTGAGTGAAGTTAGAGATGACTTTTTTCATTTAATTCACAAATGTCATACTTGGTTTAGTTAAATAATAAATACCATATACATAGATCTACGGAATTCAAGAAAATAAATCCTTGTAGATTATTTTGGCTTTATTTCTGAATGTTATAAATTCCTTAAGTACCTCTGCGCAGTAGCTCCTGAAACATTCTAGAACTTCTTTTATTTGATTGATCGAAATCATCCGCCCTTTTCCATCAGCTGCAATAAGAGGATAATAGCTAATACACTATGTACATGTGTGTTAAATGAAGGTAAATTCTAATGAAAAAAAATCTATACTTTCTTCATTATTTTGCTCTGGTAAACACATATTGGAAAGTTCTTTATTCACTATTATTCAAAATCTAATTGCATATTTATTGCAAAAATTAATACTTACGTCCTTTGGCAGAGTGCGAGCAGAAAGGAACTTCTTTTGGCCAGTACTCTGGTTTCTGCGTTTGGTGGTATGTGCCACGTTCTTTAGCACCTGTGTATAATTGAAAGATGCACAGATTCATATAAATAGTGAACATATAAAGTTAGTACACTTATAATAAAAACAATAAAATATGATGCTAAATGTTATTATAAGTTTACGGCTAGCTGGTATTCCATAGTTAAGTGATGCTAGTTTATCTCAGATGAATAAAATTCGACAAAGAAAAGTGGGCATTATTCTAGCAGCCATTTTGAAATGGCACCCTCTTATAACGAAATAATAAAAGTTTACCAAGTTTTATATGAATAGTTTATATAGGTTTCAGAACACGCATGAAAAATAACACATCGCCGGTGCCTGATTTGAGAGTCATTTTCGAAAAGTGTAGCTAACATGGTTCGAGAGTATATTTAAACCATACAATAGAAGCCTACGGAAGTTAATTGATAAATTTCTGCAAACATGGTGTCGAAAGAAATTATATAATCAGATCCATAACAATAAATGTTTACATGTCCAAAGAAATTAGTTTAGCGTATACGCATATTTTTTTCTTATCCGATACAAAGTGAATCAAAGAATTATGCATGCACAAATGGATGTTATTGCATTCAATTAAAGATAACAAACCTTTGTTGAAACAGAGTCTTGAGTATATTTTTCTGCATAGTGTGCTATGTAGATCTTCCAAGGATAGACCAAACACGTCTATATTTCTAAGGTCTACTGTCTTACATGGTTCTAATAAAATAACATGTTGTTAAAGGGTATAATCTATATCTTATGAAATATTTAAAAAAAAATATAAACAGTAAAATTATCTTGGTTCCATTATTTTATGGCTGATTCCCGAAAAAGTTGTAATAGAACGTCACTATTATTTATTACACATAAAAAATGTACGTAAAAATAATAAAATGTTCCGGAACAAAATATTTTTTGCTATTCTAAATAGGGTTTTATCCGTTTATCAATGACTTTGTGCATGCGCCACTAACTTTTAGGCAGTTTATTGCCATTTTTATTTGTTTGGGTCGTGAGACCAAACAAATAATGGTAGCGAAATTTCAGAATTTGATGTTGTGAATTGCAAATGCCGAAAGTAGTCCGCTTTTTTAAGCGGTTACTTCTCTTTATATGTACACTAATGCCGAAAAAATCAGGGGAGTGACAGGGGCATTAATTATCAAGCAAAATAGTTCCCGAATGGTCGAAAAATTCTAATATTGTTTATTTACAGATATACATGCTTATAGTAAGCTCAATGATTATTTACATCTGTCTTAAACAACAGGTTAAGCGTCGAAATAATAAGAGTTACAAAACCTAAATTAGAATAATATGGATTTCTTTAGGCCGTTTAAACATAACTTCTCTGTGGCCGAGGAGTTTGCACGCTCGCTTAGCAATTGAGATGTCTGGAGTTCAAATCCCAGTTAAAGTCAACTCATTTTTTAAATTGTTTAAGTCAAATAAACATTGAATTGAATGTCAATGTTGAAATTACTCGTATAGCCAATTTACTAAAATTAAAACACTGGAAAGCATTTGTGGCACTATACCAAAAAGTTAAAACAAATTGGTTTATAATCACACAACCTACACCTTTCTGACATTCTGAGACCCAAACAAATTCAGCGCCTTATGTGCTTTGATTAATTCATACAAGCATTTTGGAGGTATTCTTTTTTTTTAATCCAAACAATTATTTTGGCATCAGATATATAACTTTCAATACACTTAAATCAGTTGTAAAAAGGCTGGGGATGCAGAAAAACGTTTATATTAATACAGGTAATATACAAATCATCGTTATCCAAAGATAGTTGGCAAAAGAATGTAATGTGGGAAATTCTAAATCGTACCTGGCACAACTGCTTTGTTTACTGATTTTTCTGCCACTTCTAGAATATCCTGACCTTTGGTGCCTTTTAAAACCTGACATAAGGTTGGTGATCCTATTAAGAAAGATTATAAGTTACTTATGCTGATATATTTGTTTAAGGAATACTGAATCAACAAGTATATATAATTGCTTTAAGGTAGATATATTCCAGTCAATTTTAGTGCCACAATATTACAAGGATGGAATTTCAAAACATTTGAAAAGTATATTCGCACACAAAGACTTTTGTAAGCTCATAATATCCATATGCATTTGATATTGAGTTACATGAAACTAATTTATAGTTTACTTGAATGTTTAGGTTATCCATTCATGTCATACGTAAGAAAAAAAAAACATTCTTAAAATGTTATGAAAAAAACATTATAAGAGATGCTTACTCTTATGTATACAAAGGACACTGGCAAAATATAAATTAATATTTACTTAACACGTATAGGAGAATATCGTTATTTGAGCCAATGTTCAATATTGAGCCAAACAAGAAATTAACATGATAATGTAGAAAATACCTGTAAGACACACTTGTCCGTTTGGCTGGATCGTTATCAGGGCCATGATGGGTGCCCCAGGAATTTACAAGTGTTGGCTACCTAATTGTAATCAACATGATAACAGTCATTTGGTATATTAGATGATCTTTACAGTTTTATTTATATACTTTCATGAAAATCAATATTTCTTTATAGCATGAAAACATTTCAATTATAAAAAAGACGACACAAGTATATTTACGTATTACATGTATATATACGAATATTGATAATCGTGACATATCACATAAGCATACATATTGAGTGAAAATGAATAATGAATATCTTAGCTATTATCGTTGAATTTAAAAAAATCGGGAAATTGCCATTTTTTAAAACTCTGCTAGTTATATTTATTAACTTCCAAGGCATATGAGACCAGTAAATGATAACATTGAAAAGTAAAAGAATCATTATTGTAAACATTAGCTTTTACCCTTCTTGTCAAGCGGTGAATTTTTCTCCTTATGTTTCGAGATGTAATCACTGTTTGATTTGTTGGGTTAACCTGTAATTGAAAGTAACATTCTTTTTATACAAACAAGAACTTCAATATGTGCCAAAAATTTATACTTAAGTCCAACTCAACCAGTAATTCGATATCATGTCTCATAAATTATTTTATATAGGAAATTTAAGGTTTCTTCATGTTGTTAAATTGACTTGCGATATATATGTGTATATGAATTATTATGTACAACTCGTTTTAATGATTTTGTTAAAAATCTTAGCATCTTCTTAAATATAAAATAAGACATATATAAAAGTATACCCGGGTTTTTCCTGCCTTACGAGTCTTGGCCCGCCGTACATTCATTGACAAAGAAGAGATAACTAAAAAAAAACAACAAAAATAAATGTTAAATTTTAAGCTTTTCCAAATAGTTTTACAATTCTCAAAATATTTTTTTTCTGTCTTAAAACATAAGTGATGGTTGTAAATTCATATTAACAATATGATTATGATAACAACTATAGAATTTTGACAGGTTGCATACAACAGTAAGTTCACATAACCTGAGCAACAAGGCGAGAATACATGGATTATAGGTAATATAAGATAGAGAGATAAGTTATAAAAGTACAATATTTATAGCAATTTTTATGTTTACTGTAAAACAAAATGTTTACCACGCATATTTCCAGAGGACATTTTGAAAGTTCAAAATAATGCAATACACAGCAAAAGAATACCTGAAAAAAAGTAAAGTATGGCATTTTATGTTTTGCGTACTAAACAACATGACATGACAGTTATTTATGTGATATAGCTTTTCTACAGAAGAGCGTATTTTTATGGGATCGCCCCGATGTAGGTATAGCGTTTTCCGTCAAGGCGTATATTCATGCATCTGTCCATCAATCACAATATGATCGGAATCTAAATTGCTGCTTACATTTCTTTTCATACTAATTTCGAGATAATTAACTCGAAATTTCGAGTTAGTATGTCGAAATTTGAGTTAATAAAATACACAAAATTGGCACTTATGGTCTTCAGTACCTTCGTTATTTTCGTGCGGGCATATAAAGTTTCAATTTGATACAATCTGGTGGAGAAAAAAAATAAAGTGAACAAAAACAATAACTCTCTTATGTAATATATTGGAGTTACTGCCTTTTATTCAAAATTGAAAATGTTGCTTCAATTGATGAAATATTAAAACTGCAAATATCTAAATGAAACTCGGTCGTCATAGTTCCTATTTTGAAAAGACCATTTTTTAAAACACATATAAAGACAATAGATTAAAAAATAACTTTGCTTAGTTTACAAAGTAAATGCTTAATTAATGGAGTATGTACAGGTATATGCAAATAGTCTCACCATAAATAATCTAGAATTCTTTTTTTGTCATGTAAGTTAAAAAAAAACACACGATAGTAACCGTGACAATGATGGGTAAGTTTTAAAGAAATATTAAGATGTTTTTTCGTTTGAGTGTAATATGAAATATTTTCATGAAACATGATAAAATTCCATTTATTTTCACAAGCTGGAAATCTTACTTTTTCTTTAAAAAAGGAAGTTTGCATATTTATAAATTCGTTATAAATATTTTTGACTGGTTATATGGCCGTATATGGAATTACTTAGTCGTTGCCACGAGATAGCTTAGTTGTGGCAACAAGATAGCTATGTTGTGGCCACGAAATACTATGTCGTGGCCATGAGTTACTGAGTCGTGGCCACGAGATAGCTTAGTTACTAGTTACTTAGCCACGAGTTACTGTCGTGACCACGAGTTACTAAGTCGTGGCCATGAGACAGCTAAGTCGTGGCCACGAGTTACTATGTCGTTGCCACGATTTACTAAGTCGTGGCCACGAGCACATGTCTAGTTAATTATGGAAATTCATATAAATGGTGTAACATGATTGTTTTTTTATCTCGTGGCCACGACTTAACTATCTCGTGGCCACGACTAAGAAACTCGACATAGTATCTCGTGGCCACGACTTAGTCACTCGTGGCCACGACATAGTATCTCGTGGCTACGACTTAGCTATTTCGTGGCCAAGACTTAGTCCCTCGTGGCTACGACATAGTATTTCCTGGCCACGAGAAAAATAAAAACACACACATGTCATGTATGTGCCACCGTAACAAATTGATAGTAACGAGAGCTTTACGACACCCTCTAAGCATCTGTTATTAATTTGGGATTTTGACGATTATTTGTTAATAACTTAAGCTTTGAGATAGCAGGGAAAACCTTAACGAGAGGCTTACGACATGCGTTATGGTAACGATAGTTTCGAGATTCTGACCCCAGGCTACTGCTTAGTTTAAAAAATAGTAGCCTAATGGTTAAGAAACATGATGTTTGATGCAAAAGATGCTGCCTCAAGACCATAGACGATGGACGACGCGAGACAAAAGCATAAAAATATTTAACAGGGTGATACAATAATATACACATGATTCGATTGAAAATTTATTTGTTTTGTGCGATTTTTATCTCGATAAGAAAGAAAAACCCGCAAAACTTTTCATTTTGGATCATTTTGTACCATAAAAATCCCCATGCATATCCAGTAACGCAGGAACGTGCAATTATCGTAAAAGTAAATTATTTAACGCCGAATCTGTGCAACGCTATTGCCAAAATGAATAACACAGTAAGTAAACGAACCAAAATGTTTTACTCTAAATCAAATTTAAAGAAATGAATAAGCGCGTACGCCTGCTACGACATTATACCTTAACCAGCATTACAATTCTTTTCAGGAATTTGTTTACTTTCTTAAATCATTCGTGAGAAAGACAACCTGATTAACGTTTTGAAGGTGACTTTTGTGTTCCGTTAAATAAATATGTACATTTTTCATATCTAAAACTTTATCTTTTTCATATTCTGTATACCTAAGACATTGTATCGTATAACAATAGAAGGAAGCTGGTTAAATAGGATTTAATTACTTTTAATGACATAACCGGCCTCGCCATTTTTTTAGCAGAAATACCCCTTGATGCTGCCCCAGCCAGTGTTATATCCTCGTAACTAACTCGTTTCATGTTCTATAACTGTTACTTAAAACACCTTGTAAAAGTGCAAAAAGAATATCAGTAAAACAGCATAAATAACCAATATTCTTTTTTTGTCACCCTTTCACTAGGTCATCGTGATATGTCAGCTCGTTTTATCCTTGGAAACAGTCCAAATACATTCTACATAACGCCAATCATGAAAACGGTTGACGGTGGCTCCGCCCTAAGATATAATTTTAGAGATTATAACGTAACGGTAATCAAGTTCATACTTATATAGAGTTTGATAGATAAATATATGTTATAGTATATTTATTAGAATTATATACAACTTAAGTGCAAAGGAAAGTTAGCGAACGCTGCTCTTAATTTGTATATAATTCAAATATATTTAGAGTTTACTCCGTCCCTTTTTTGTCGAACTTACAACACGCCCATACTAGGAGATTGGCAGGCATTACGATGTAAATGTGTGACTATTGGCTAAGATTACATTTTACTTAACATGTGGAACAGCCTTACATGTATAATTTGCAGACTGTTAAAGGTGGACGAATTTTATTTAAGTATAATTTAAGAGATGATGAATTCTCTCAGAGGGTGCGTGCGCACGACATAATTGAGCGGTGCGCACGAGATACTATGTTGTAGCCACGAGTTACTAAGTCGTGTGCACAAGGTAATAAAGTGATGCGCATGACATATACTATGTCGTGGCCACAAGTAACAAAGTGTGCGCACGAGATAATTAAATGGTGCGAACGAAATTCTTTGCCACGAGTTAGTAAGTCGTGCGCACAACTAACTGAGTCGTGTTCTCTGAGATAATTAAGTCATGGAAAGAGTTACTTTCTGGTACAACAAGATAATTAAGAATCAACAACTTCAAATGGCGAGGGTGTGAAGCAAGAACACACTAATCAGCGGCGGCTACTTAACCTTTTCCATTATATAGATGTGTTTTGACGGCTTTTTGCCCCCCCCCCCCTGTATTCAGGCCTCAAACAGTGAAAAAAATGCCCTCTTTAAGCCCCAAACACTGTTTTTCGTTAGAAATGTTGTTTAAAAAGTGACCACTTTTTCGACAAGGCCCCCATCAAAATGATCCATCAGGGGGTTTCCAGAAGGGGATGTGCCCCCTTCTGATTGAGGGGGGGTGAAGGGGGCGGTAGAGGCTCAAAATGACCTCAGGTTGATCGTAACGCTGAAAAGCCTTTTACTAGCAATAGAAGCAAAATATGAATCAGATAATTGACCAATGGGAACAAAAGATATAGATCTACGTACAGAAACTTCTCCTTCCATCCATATTTGCGCCTCGGTCTTAGGTTTGGATCTAGCTCTACAATTCTATTTTTAATTTCTTTAAATATCATATTATATGTTCATTGCTACTGAAAAATAAATCTTCTGAACTGTTTTTTACGGTTATAATAACTTTTTACAATTTGAATTTGGCGCTTTGTAGATGTGTCCGTAACTTTTACGAAAGGGTAAATTTATGCAAATGCCGTTAGCGTTTAACTGACTCTGATCGGTTAATAACTGATCCCCCGCAATGACATCATCGCAAGCACTTGGCTGTAGCTTGGCTGTTAACCCAGAAATGAGACCCCAGGTGTCCCTCCGGGCATTATTTCAGACACGAGCGGGCACCCGGGTAGAACCACCGACCTTCCGTAAGCCAGCTGGATGGCTTCCTCACATGAAAGATTTCGACCCAAGTGAGGATCGAACTTACAGCGGTGAGGGACCAGTGATCTCAAGTCAGCGACCTTAACCACTCGGCCACGGAGGCCCCCTCAGTGACAACATTGGTTGGATTCCGACTTTTATAAGGTTCAATGTTTGAAATCCACCAATGAAACAACAGAAATCTGGAAATCCTCCAATGGACAGACGGCCGGATTCTTGGATTTCAATTGCGGCCATATTGAAATCTCATATAAAATCTACATAAGAAAATCATAAATATACAGAAACATGTAGTTAATACTTAAATTAAGAATTTCATCAGTGTTCCAAATACAGTACTGATTTTTAAATGTCTTTCTTTTTGCGCCAATACAAAATTTTAGTCATCTCTGTGACATATTTTTAAAAAAAAGATTTCACATATTCCCCTGTCGTAGCACTAAATGTCAAATTAAAGCTATGTTTATAGTTAAGTGCTAAAGTGTTCTAACTTCATAACAGTTATAAGTAATAGTTACATTAGTTTGGCACTGAAGCCTGAAAGTAAGCACCTTGCGTAGAAATATGATAACTTGTTAATACTTTCTGTCAGTATTCTCAGACCTCCTTTGTTTGATCACAAAAAGAAGTCAGTTACCGTTGACTAAACTGTTACATTTGTAACTATGGACCATGGCAGAGTATTTATTATTTACTTTTATGTTTTATACAGTGTACAATGTAGATAAATAATACCCCGTTGATTAAATCTATTATATATATATGTATTAAATTAAAGGTGTCCATGCAGGATATTTTATCAGTACGTTTCAGTACACTAAAAGAATAAAAGGAGAAAAAAGTATGACAGGAGTTACTGTCATTTATTTTATATAATGACCACCCCCCTGTTTGTATGTATGTATTACAACACCCTATGTATGTACCCTTGTGAAGTGTCCTATATTTATTTTTGACTCATCTTTAGACATTTACCTGAAATTAATGATACCTGTACTGATTAAGAAACAATTTGCTGTATCATTATGAGACAATAGTTAATCAAGACGGCCATCTTGCTTTTTTGGACGGTCTCCAGTCTTCAGGGGGCTTGCGTAAATCGGTCTACTTAAAGACTGCTGCATTATCTGTACATATTAATTAGATATTACACTATCAATTTAATTTGTAGTCATTAATTTTTGAAGGCCGGAATGTATTATGTTTTGGGTATCGGACCTCCCTTGGTTCTCAGTTCTTATTCAGTTTAACTTGTACTGTCAGTTACTAATATTAAAAGGAACAACTCTACTAAAGTAGACGATGACATAAGATATTACCAAAATTTCTAATCTTAAAGTTTGATTCTTTTATTATGATATTTATTTAAATTCTTAATCTTGAAAATTAGTTCTGTTTAGAAATTTTATAGTAAGATAGAGACATCAGAATAATAAAATGTGCATTATCTCCTTGAAATAATTATTGTATGATTTTAATCTTATGGAGGGGGGGGGGGATATAACATATAATATATATATATCAGATTTTTTTTATGAATATAATTACAGTATCATAGAACTGATTAATATTGATATAAAGTTTTTAAATCTGATGAAAAGAAGATGATATAGAAAAGTTTATAAATGCCGTCTCTGTTAAAATCATACTGGCCAGCATATCATATTTAAAGTTAAGGCTTTATAATGTTTTAATATAAGCAAAATTACAAATAATCGTCTGTTTTGAAAAGGTAGAATAACTGATTAAGATTTGTGATACATAATGTATATAAGAGAGAAAGCATTAAGGAATTAATTGTATCAGTTAAAATAGATAAAGGTTTTGAATATTAATGGCTGCATTCCAAAAGGTAGGTATCGGAACAATAGGCAGTTGTCAACTCAACAATGAGAAATAGTGTCATGTGTACAGAAAAAAATCTTTACTTCGAGAAATTAGAAACTTGTTGGGTAAAGAGATTTACTCAATGGCAGCATGCCCACTGAATTTCAAACGTAGGGGTACATGTACCCCCTGTCATTGAAAATTGGGGGTACATTTCAAAATCTGGGGGAACACATAGTCATAAGTTTAAACATGTTTTTGTTTGTAAGAACATTTTAGTCAACATGATATTAATGAACAGCTGTTTCACTAAGTATTACTACCCACTAACATAGACACAAAGTCATCACCTACCCACTAACACAAGCACGAACTCATCACTTAAGGTAGCAATATAACAGCCATTACAATTACTGGTATTTTGTTAAGTCCATACGATTATTACCCATAACCAAAATTTTGTATATCCGAAATTATGTACATTTATTTCAAAATCTCTATTATTTATATTTTCATTTCATATGACATGCATAAAGCTCACAATTGAAGGTAGTTGTTAAAAAATCAAGTGACTAACTTTTTGCTGATCATTGGAGAACTCAAAATACTTTTTGGCAGTTGTAAATATCCAAAACTTTTTTTCTTAAGACAGTACATGTGACGTCAAAACATCACTAAAATATTTACGAATCAGACTGAGATGACTTTGAAAGGCAGACAAGCAATTGTGACCGGGTTTAGACTGTTCCTAACCACTGGTAGG